AGCCCGATCAAGTTGACCCGGTGACTGGTGATCGAGATGCTTCCCTTCAGACTCCCGAAGAACCCTCTCCAGACCAGGAACTTCCTCGGGAGAGTGACCCGTCGGAACCTGACGCTCCTGCTGAACCAGAGCCAACCGGTCCCGTTTCTTCGGGGCAACTCGATGACGTTCAGCCACAGCCATCCGATTCTCTGGAAGACCGAGCTGTCGAGCCTCCAAGTGAGGAACCTCCCGCAGACACTGAGCAGACTACTGAACGTCGGGACGCCCCGCCAATTGAGGAACCGCAAGAGCCTCTCGTCCCGAAGAAGTCGAAGAAGGACAAGAAGAAAAAGAAGCGGGCGGGACAGCTCGAACCGGAGCCAGAGTTGGATGTCACCCCCGTTGGCGACGATCAGACCGAAGTCCAGCATGAGAGCCAAGAACCTCCTTCTCAGCCACAGCCGACCGAGGAGCCACAGCCGATCGAGGAGCCGCAGTCATCCGAATCCCTGGAAGACCGAGCTGAAGTCCAACATGAGAGTCAAGAAGCTCCCTCGGAGACGGTCGACCTCGGTACCGTTGTCGAGACGCCTGCAGTGGCCGAGGACTTAGCTGAAATCCCAGCGGAGTCTGAGCCAGCGGAACCTAGCGCGCCTGAAGAAGGCCAGGGTGTCGTGAATCCGTCTCTGTCCTCCGAGTCTGCCGTTCAGATCCAGCCCGGACCCGAGATGCCCGCCGAAAGAGATGCCGCTTCCCCTGCCCCGGAGTCAAGTGTTCCCGAAGAACAGTCCCCTGCTCCAGTTGACGAATGGGTCGAGCCTACAGCGTCCAAGAAGAGCAAAAAGAAGAAGAAGAAGGGCAAGGCCGCCGTCGTTGCAGAGCCCGAGCCCTCGACTGCACTGGACGAAACGACACCGACAGCACCCCTTGGTGATGAATCTCGTTCTGATGTTCCTCCTCCTGCTGATGCCGAAGAAGGGGCCGTTCAGGAAAGTACAGATGCGCCTGTGGAAGAGGGAGGCCACGCTTTGGGATCCCTTGAAGAGGAGCCGACGGTCCCTGTCGAGGAGCAGCCAACGACCCCTGTGGAGGAGCAGCCGACGGCCCCTGTCGAGGAGCAGACAACGGTCCCTGTCGAGGAACAGTCAACCACTCCTGTTGAAGAGCAGCCCGTTGTCCCCATCGACGAGGAGCCCATTGTTTCTCTTGACAAGCAGCCTCCCGCGCCAGTCGAAGAATCGGCTGATCTCACGACGTCCAAGAAGGGCAAGAAGAAGAAGAAGAAAGGGAAGGCCGTTGCAATTGCAGAACCCGAACCTTCGACAACGCCGGAAGAAGTTGCGCTTCCCAGTGACACGGGTCCTTCCGACGTCGTTCCACCTATTCCCGCCGACGAAGAGCCTACCGTCGAGACTCCTGATGTGCTCGCAGAACAGGTACAGGATCAGGAGCAGCAACCAACTGCCGCCATCGAAGAGCAACCCGCCACCATCGAAGAGCAACCTGCCGCCATCGAAGAGCAACCTGCCGCCATCGAAGAACAACCTGCCACCATCGAAGAGCAACCTGCCGCCATCGAAGAGCAACCTGCCGCCATCGAGGAGCAACCTGCCGCCATCGAAGAGCAACCTACCACCCCCGAGAACGACTCACCCGAGCTCACTGCCAAGCAGAGAAAAAAGGAGAAGAAAAAGAAGAAGAAGCGACAGGGCGTCACAGAGGATGACCTCGTACCTGAGGCGCCCGCTTCTGGGCAGGATGTTGAGGAACAACCCGAGACAGAAACTCAGGCGGACGACAACGCCATTGCCAAAGAAGAACAAAAAGACGAACTCATCTCCCGTGACCTCAGCGATTTGCCCGCCACTGAACCCGTTATCACCGTCCCAGAGGCACCTGGTGATGCCCCGGGTGAACCGCCTGGTGACATGCAGCAACCCGAAGTCGAACCTGTTGTCGATGTGAGCGAACCCATTCACCCCCCTGTCGAGAGTGGCGACGATGTCGGCGAAGCCACCGGTCCTGTTCCGTCTGAGGGTGCAGAGGACACTGCGAACGCCGCAGAACAGCTTGGCGACGTCGCAACTCCCTCAGAAGAACCCCCGGTGGAGGCAACTGAGACACTCGCCGACGACATTGTACCAGAGGAAGCCAGTCAAGAACCTCAGAATCCTGCTTCGGAGGCTACACCTGAGTCCATGCCGGAGCCCGCCCAAGAGACAACCGAAGTCTCGGTGCCCAAGAAGTCCAAGAAAGACAAGAAGAAGAAGAAGAAGGGTGGCCAGACAGTGGTTGACGACGCGCCTCAGGCGGGCCAAGATGATGAGTCTTCCGCCGGTCAACGATCCTTGGACAGCGCTGAGCCTGTCGCCGAAGACATGGCGGAGCCCGCCCCTGAACTCATGGAGGGACCTGCCTCGGAGCCCGCAGGGGAACCTGCCCTGGAACCTGCCCTGGAGCCCGCAGAGGAACCCGCCCTGGAGCCCGCAGAGGAACCCGCCCTGGAACCCGCAGAGGATGCTCCTCAGCAGCCCACAGAGGAAGCTGCTCAGACTGTCACAGAGCAGCCTGCCGAGGAGAGCACCGACGTCTTCGCAGCCAAAAAGCCGAAGAAGGACAAGAAGAAGAAGAAGCGTGGCAACCAGGTCGAAGCCGATGGGGATGCTCAGCCCAGTCAACAAGAGCATCTCTCTGCCAGTCAAGAGCCGCAATCCTTGGAGGACATTGCCGAAGTCGAAGTGCCGCAGCCTGACAGCTCTGTCATGGCGTCCTTGCCACCCGAAACTCAGCCGGAAGTCACCGATGTTCCCGCCGTGCAGGAGATGGAGAAACCACCCGTTGGCCAAGAAGAAGTTGCTCTTCAAGAGCCCGAGACGCCTGCCGAAGAACTTGTCGGCCATGATACTCCTCTCGAGGCTGCTCCGAGCGCACCCGTCTCGCAGGTAGATGAACCCGCTGTCGACAGTGAAGCTGCTCCTCCCGAGCCTGAGGAACTTGCCAAAGAGCTTGCCAGTGACGGGGCTTCTCCTGATGAGGTCTCAACGGAGCCAGTCAGCGGTGAGGCGGACATCATCGAACCAGAAGGACCCCCGGCCAGCGGCGAGGCTCCACCCTCGGACGTCTCCCCCGACCAGCTAACAGAACCGGTTCAGCCCGTCGAAGAGCCGGAGTGGGGTGGCGTCCAGACGTCTCGCAAGAAGTCGAAGAAGGGCAAGAAAGGCAAGGCCAGCACAGACGTCAGCGAACCCGCGTCACGCGCCTTGTCACCGGCACGTCAAGTTGAGGAGGAGCCGCAGCCACTCGAGTCGTCGCGGGAAGCGCCACCGCCACCGCCACCAGAGGATTCGGCACCGATTCCGGAGTCTTCTCCCGACGAAGCGTCTGTCGTCGTCGTCCAAGAACCCCCCACCGAGCCTGAACCTGCTGCAGTCGAGGAATCGGCTGTGCCTACTGCGACGAAGAAAAAGAAGAAGAAGGGCAAGAAGGGCAAGGGGAGCGCAGACGACAGTGAGCCGGCATCCCGAGCGTTGTCTCCGTCCCGCGAGACCATTGCGGAGACTACAGCTGCCGAACCTGAGCTTTCTGTCCCTCCGCAGGACGACGTGGCAGTGGAGATTGCGGAACCTTCTCTGGAGGAGACTACTGTGGAGAACACGACTGTCGAGCCCGAGGCTCCAGTTCCATCCCAAGACGACGTCACGAAAGAGATCACGGAGCCTTCTTCTGAAGAGACCATGGAGAACACGACTGTCGAGCCCGAGGCTCCAGTTCCATCCCAAGACGACGTCACCAAGGAGATCACGAAGCCTTCTCCTGAGGAGACCACCGTGGAGAGCACAGCTGTTGAGCTCGAGGCTCCAGTTCCATCCCAAGACGACGTCACGAAAGAGCTCGCAGAGCCTTCTCCTGAGGACCTCGGCAGCCAGCCAGAACCGCCTGAATCGACTCAACCTACCGAACCAACTGAGCCGACTGAACCCGCCGAACCCGCCGAGCCGGCTGTGGAGGAAGAAGCGTCTTTGCCTACAACGACGACGACGAAAAAGAAAAAGAAGAAGGGCAAGAAGGGCAAGGGGTCTGGTACAGTCGCCGAGTCTACTTCTCTCCCGGAATCGCCAGCCCCTGAAATGGACGAGTCGACCATGGTCAACATGCCATCGGAGCCCAACGAAGTTCCTGAAACGGAGCCTGCTTCCACTTCAGAGACGGCCCTGCCTTCCGATGAACCGTCGACTCAATCTGAAGCTCCCGTTGAGCCCGTCTCACGCGCTTTGTCGCCTGTCCCTGAGACAAGTCATCCTATTGCATCAGAGGAAGTTGAGGCGCCTCAGGGTGGCGTGACACTCGAACCGGAGCCCGAGACAACACCAACTTGGGCATCTCGCGACCTATCCCCGACAAGAGCGACGCCTGACAAAAGCATTCCTGAAGTGGCCGAAGCGCCGTTGGCCAGCGAAGACAGCCCTGCTGTGCAAGAAGAGGTGGGCGTTCCCGACGCAGGGCAAGATGGCAAGGAGGATGTCGTCGAAGTAGCCGAGCACAAGTCAGAAGACACGGCGGTGCCTCAAGACGCGACCGACGCGGCCGATGTGGACATGACACCGGCTCGGGAAAGTGGCCACATCGTTCACGAGCCCCCCTTCGAGTGGGACGAACCCGAAGAGCGCAAGAAGGCAAAGATTGAGGACGAGCGTGAGGCTGTCGCCGCAGAGCCCGTCGTCCTCTTGACCCCCGAGGACACTGCCGCAGCTCAGAGGGGGGCCGAGGGAACGACTGAGCCGACTCTTGTGGATGAGTCCGCATCTCGCGGCCTCGAAACCGCCTCCGCCGCGGAAGGCGGCGCCCGTGCCAAGGACATCTCTCTCGACGTCCCTTCAGCAGACAAGATCGAGACCGAGGATGTTCGGACTGGCATTCCGGTCAAAGCAGGGGGCGCACCGCAACCCGAAGAACCGCCCGGTCAGGAAGACGAAACGACATGGCCTACGGAGCCTGAACAGCCGGCGGCAGGCGAGGACAAGGAGGTCGGAGGGGAGGAGGACATGTTGGACGATCCTGTCGTCTGGGAAGGTGCGGACAAGAAGCAGGTCAGCGAGGCGGCCAGCGCGGAGGTGGAGAAGTTCTGGAGCACAACAGAGGGAGATGGGAGTCTCGTGGAGGGAGGAGAAGGTCAGCCTTTGGCAACGCAGGAGGAGCATGGCGAGATTCTGGCGGGAGGAGGAGAAGTGGGAGAAGTTGAGGGAGAAGTTCAGGGACAAGCCGAAGCTCCAACGAAGCAAGATGACGACGATGTTGCGGAACAAGACACAACGAACATGACAACGCAGGTGGAGGATATCAAAGCAGCGGAGGGCGACGAGGAGGCGGTGACGGAGAGTCCGGTACTTGGACGACGACCGTCACAGGACGAGCTAGCGGGCATGATCACAAGCACGGTGTGGGCAGGCAAAGAAGGGGGAGAAAGTCGGCCGGCGGTGGAGCAGCCAGTGAGGGAGAGCATCGAGACGATGGAGATGGACGAGGCAGTCGACCGCGGGTTCGAGGCGGAGCAACGCAGGGACATGTCGGAGGATACGCCCGTGGAAGAGACCTTTACGCCAAGCTTCGAGGTCGTTCCCGATTTCACGCGATCGGTGTCTCGAGGGCTGCCGCCGGTGCGGGAAGAGAGTCCGGAGGAGGTGGAAGACAAGATGCAAATGCAAGCGCAAATGCAACAGGAACCGGAGCCACAGGCACAGGCACAGCCACGCAGCCTCCAGACGTTGGCACCATTGACGCCCGAGGCAAACCGAGACAGCGGGTTCGTTGATGAAACGCCGCACCCATTCACAAGGAACCCGATGGAGGATGGCGACTTGTACGACAATAACAACGACCGGGACAGCAATCTGCGTGAAGCCAGAGCGACGACTCCGCAACGCAGTGTGTTCGGACGCGACGAATCCGACATGGGAAGCGGCACGAGCACGAGCAGGAAGCTACGGCGATCACCACTATCACGACACGACCTCCGCGACCATCCCTTGTCCCGGACGCCAGCGCTGCGCGAGCCGAGTCCACGAGAGGCGACTCCAGAACCACAAAAGGTGTCGCGCCGGACGCCCGACCTAGAGAGACGGTGGAAGTACGGAGACTTGGGTGCCAGCACAAGCAGAAGAGCAAGCCCGGGCGCGGCGGGAGCTGCAGCGATCATAGCGGCGGCGTCGGCATCGGCGTCGGCGGCGAACCCTGGACGCAGGAGCGTGTCGGACCAAGTAGCACGTCTCCAGTCACCGAGATTCGACGGCAACAAGACGCCCACGCCGTCATCCCCCTCCCCTGCACCTGCACCTGTGCACACGCTGAGGCGGCGCTCAGCCTCCAACACCAGCCTCGCACGCCACAGGACGCCCGAGCCACTCCGATTAGGGGCTTCGGTGACGGGTCGGGCCGACAGTCCTGCTGCCTCAGGCACAAGCCCAAGCATCTTCAGACAGTCATCAGCCACACCTCCACTGAGGCGCGTGGATAAGCGGGTCAGCGGGGATCTGAGACGGTTGAGCCAACGCAGCCACGGTCAGGACGGCGGTCAGGTTGCAACGTCTCCAGCCCCATCCACGCTTTCGCTTTCGCTTTCGCTCTCGCAAGACCAAGACCAAGACAACCAACAAGACAAACAACACGACAAGAAAGACAAAGACAGAGTCGCAGAAGGTTACACCACCGCCAGGAACACTCCTGTCGCAAATGAAGGCCGTGTTCGCGCCAAGGGCATGGCCGATGTCTATGTAAGTCTTTGGTGTTTCTGGGGGGGGGGGGGGTTCTTTTCTTCCCAGCCTCCTCGCATTTCCATCTCTTCCATCATCATCATCATCACATCATCATCATCATCATCATCATCATTCGTCTGTCCCGATCCCATTTTGATCATCGACAAAGAATGACCGCTAACGTCTCTCTCTCTCCTCTCTCAGGATGGCTATGGCGAGGGCCGTATAGGCTCGCCGCGGTCCCCTACCCGCCCCCACAGCATGCGCCGTCGCCAGAGCATGCAGGTCCTCGAACTCGAAGCGCGCCTTGAACAGTTGGTGGCCGAGAACCGTGCCCTCGCAGAAGCAAATGCAAATTCCCAGTCCGACGTCGCCTTCCATCAGCGCGCCGCCGCCATCCTCGCCGACCGCGATGCCGAGATTGACCGGCTCAAACGATCGCTCGACTTCCTCCAGAAAGAAGTCAACCGCCTCACCGAGGTGAACGATGGCCTCAACAGCGCGAACGCCCAGCTCGCCACCCAACACAACGACCGCGAACGCGACGAGGCCCTGGCCCGGAAGGACGCCGAGATGGACCAGCTGCGCTCCGAGCTCGACGCGGCCAAGGACCAGATCCGACAAATGCAACAGCGCATCCTCGCGTCCAAGCCGTCCGACAACGCCGACTTCCTCTCCATCCACGACGTCGACTACTTCGACCACCGGTGCCAGCAGCTCTGCTCGCACGTCCAGCAGTGGGTCCTGCGCTTCTCCAAGTTCTCCGACATGCGCGCCTGCCGCCTCACCTCGGAGCTCAACGACGAAAAAGTCATCGACCGCCTGGACAACGCCGTGCTCGACGGCTCCGACGTCGACGTCTACCTCGCCGACCGCGTGCGCCGCCGCGACATCTTCATGTCCATGACCATGAACATGATCTGGGAGTTCGTCTTCACGCGCTACCTCTTCGGCATGGACCGCGAGCAGCGCCAGAAGCTCAAGTCCCTCGAGAAGCTCCTGACCGAGGTCGGCCCCGCCAAGGCCGTCCGCCAGTGGCGCGCCGTCACCCTGACGCTGCTCTCCCGGCGCGCCGCCTTCCGGGAGCAGCGCGAGCTCGACACCGAGGCCGTCGTGCAGGCCGTGTTCCAGACGCTGTCCAAGGTGCTCCCGCCGCCGTCCAACCTCGAGCTGCAGATCCAGTCGCAGCTCCGCCGCGTCATGCGCGAGGCCGTCGACCTCGCCATCGAGATGCGCACCCAGCGCGCCGAGTACGTCATGTTGCCGCCCCTCCAGCCCACCTACGACGAGGAGGGCGAGCTGGCCGAGACGGTCACCTTTAATGCGGCGCTCATGAACGAGCGCAGCGGCGGCGGCGACGCTTCTTCTTCTTCCTCTTCCCCGGGTTCCAACGAGGAGCTCGAGGCCCGGGCCGCTGTTGTCCGCGTAGTGCTCTTCCCCCTCGTCGTGAAGAAGGGGGACGATTCCGGCGAGGGGGACGATGAGATTGTTGTTTCCCCGGCCCAGGTCCTCGTTGCCCGCTCCTCCCGCGACGATAGGAAGCGCGGCAGCAGGTCAAGCAATACCAATATGGTCCCGGGGGGGTCTACCTCGTCCAACTTGGGCACTGGTCGCTTGCTCACGCCTTCGAGTGACGCTGGTGGTGCTTCGCTTCGTGCTCTCACGGCTACCAACAAGAGCGATGTCAGCATGCGGACTGAGGGTACATACCAGGGCGCGCTGTGAGGGCAGAAAAGAAACAAAACTTGAGGATGTGGACTGGGGTAATGAGAAGGGGATTTTTTTTTTCTTTTTTTTTTCTTTTCTTTTCTTTTCTTTTCTCTTTTTTTCTTTTTTTTCCGAGGATGAGATGGTATTCGGATATGGCTTTTCTTGGGGCATGATATGATATATCCTTTCTTTTGTTTTCTTTTGCTTCTACTTCCCGTGGTCATTTACTCGCATGTCTTTGATGCTTCTGTTTTCACGTTGCTGTGCGATTTCTTCGGGAGTTTCGTTTGGATTTGATTTTTGTATTAATTTTTGAGGTGTTCGTCGGGTTCAACTATTCGAGGGGAAAAGTCGACAAAAAAATACGACTAGATAAATTCCCATATAATGAATGACGACTTGCAATATTGCTGCTGCTGATACTATTTTTTCCGCAACTGATGTGTCGTGCTATTGCTACAGCTGCAGTAGGATCACACTGGCCTGCGAACAACTCCTGGTCAAGACGAAATCAAGACGAAATCAAGACGACATCACGGTGTAAATTTACCTCATCTATACACATGTCGTTCACCCAGATTGTCTTCACTGAATCCCGCCCTGCCCGTCCGGATCCTCACCTCGGCATCTGGGCATTATTCCTCCTCCACCGCTCCAAGACCTTCCCCGTCTTCATCGCTTGCTCATCGCCCAGGTGCGCGCGCACCAAGTCCAAGACCCAGTTCATGCGCTGTGTGCGGCCCCGCTCGCCCCTCTTGACGTCGCGCGTGGCGGCCCGAACGACGGCCAGCAGGGCCTGCGGGGGCAGCACCTCGCCATTGCCGTTGCCATTGGTGCCATTGCCATTGGTGCCGTTGGTGCCGTTGGCGGCCAGCCACGCATTGCAGCGCGACACGTGGCGCAGGGCCGCGCGGTCCGACAGGTGGGCCGCCTGCGAGAACCACACGGCCATGTCGGCGACCAGTCTGCGCTTGGCGGCCAGGCGGAGGTGGGAGGTCGGGGAGCGCGCCAGGTCTTGCGGGGACCGAGTGTGGACGACTTCCCAGACCGTGCGGGGCGGGATGTGCGCGTCGAGGATCATGGATTGGATGTAGGGGGTCCAGGCTTTCCAGTCCCAGGTGGAGAGGCGCCGTTGCGTGTTGTTGTTCGTCTCTTGGTGCTTCATGAGGCCGTAGACCGCCGCTGCGATGCGGTGGTCCCGGCTCGCGATGGCTAGGAGCTTGAATCCCCGTTCTTCTTGGAGGGTCGTGGTCGGGTTCTGGGTGCAGAGTTTCTGAAACGATTGTAGAAATCTTTCCGAGAGGTCCAGACGGCGCAGGACCTTGAAGTAGCTCGTGAGGAGCCCTAGGCTGTTGTTGTTGTTGCGGTTGTCTTTGTCTTTGTCTTTGTCTTTGCCGGGGGGTTGTCGCAGACTAATGTTCCATGCAAGTGAGGCGAGGCCGAGGTCGGCATCCCGGAGTGCGTCGCGTCTGCACGCGTCCCGTACCATGCGAGCTCCGGGGAAGTAGCCCCGACTCTGCCATTGGCGGATGAGAAGCTCGACGAGGCGACATTCGGTCGTAGACGACGGTTCTTCGTCGAAGCAGCCCGACCGGACACAGGCTTCCAAGAAGAAGGATTCGTTCACCTGGCGCATTCGGGCTAGCATGTCCAGCCACCGGAGACGACGGGTGATGTCGGTGTTCGGTTCGGCCTCGAGGGCAACGGTTTCGAGAGAATGGAGTAATTCGCCGTGTGTGGTGGGAGATAGTCTTCCCAGGCCATCTGCGAGAATGGCTGCGGCCTGGGAGTAGCACTCGGGCGAAGCAGGTAGCCAGGTGCGAACCAGCGCGTGTAAGCCTTCGCTCAGCGTGCCGAGCTGTTCTTCAGGGGTAGCAGCCAGGACGTGCTGGGCCATCTGGGCCGATTCTTGGTCTGTCGGCAGTTCGGAGATGCTCTTCAACAGAAGACGGCCCAATTCAGGTCCGGTTTGGGCGAGATTTTGGACCCTGGAATAGACGAGTCCATCGATGACCGCCGACAAAAACCTCCTTTTGGCTAACGTGACGACGAGGTTGGCTTGCGTGGTAGATGCAGATGGAGACGTTGGGAATGTGGCGAGAGCTTCATGGACAGAATCCAGGGAGACCAGACCTAGGTGGATGTCCCGTCGTATGCCGTCCATGACCTGCCGAAATTCAGGTGCAAGGACGTCCGCAGCGGGGGAGAGGGCGTCTCGAGCATGACGAAGCCTCTCTTCCAGGTCCTCCTTTGGCTGTAAGATGGACTGCGGGGGATCCGTAGTCAATTCCACTCGCTCGACTCCACCCTGCTCCGTTTCTACGGGCAACCATTTTTCCACCCAGGAGAGCAGCGACCGGCGCCGCCGTTGCGAGGATCCGGCTTCGCGCGTCGCAGCATCGGGGTTGGCCGGCGTCGGCGTCGGCGTCGGCGTCGGGGGCATCCATTTCCACTGAGACAGGTCGACGGGGTACTCGATGAGCCAGGGGGGTAGGGTCGGTTGAAAGTCGGCAGAGTAGAGGCCGGTCATGCGTCTTTTGCCGAGCCGGCGCCTGTTCTCGAGGGGACCGGGCACCGAGCTGGAGTTACGCCGCGATAGCCTCGAGACGTGGCAGTACCGTTCAAACGCATTGGCCAGGACGCTGTCGGTGATCCAGATACTGTCTATCGGTGCCCGGAGGCGTCTTGCGGCGCGACAACAGCGCGCTGTCGGTCTGGAAGACATAGAGGGTCTGAGGAGAGAGGGGGAGGAGTGTGTCCTTTTTGTTCCCGCGTTTATTGTACCATCGTCAATTGACCTTTGAAATAGCCGACGAACTGAAAATGTGCAGGTGGAGGCTATGACGGGATATTCGACACCCCGATGGAGGCTCAGGGTTCGTTCGAGAAGCTGAAATTGATCAGGTTGAATCAGAAGGCTGAATGGGAAGAACTGAATTGGGAGCTCTGGCATTCATTATTCATTCATTGGTGGTTGGACGAACGAAAGCCTTGACCGTTTGGAGAGGCTGAGATGCTCCACTCTTAATAAGCCACATAAGGTACCCACATTGTGTGGCTTGTGCCCGACGGATTGTATCACATGTCTGAAAAAAGGTCGGCGGGGCGGGAAAGAGATGTGACTTGTGAGGTAATGATAATACTTGATGATACTTCGTACAATCAGTGTACCTATGTACGGTAGTAATGCCCGCGGGGCAGCCGTTAGCGGTTACGGAATAATTCCCTTCCTCTTTCCCATTTTTCTTTTATATATTCTCCAAGGTCCTTCCTCCCACCTTTCCATCTTCCAAATTCCCAATGATCATCACAATTCCCAAGATGGAGCACCAGTTTGAACCCTTGAAGAATGACCTGCTGCTTAGGGCAGCCCGAGGTGTGTTCCATCTGTTCTTTCTGTTCTTTGGTCCCCTTACCCCCCCATGGACAAGCCTCAGCTGACAAAAAGGCATCTTCGCAGGTGAACCCATTGAACGGCCACCGTGCTGGATCATGCGGCAGGCCGGCCGCTACCTCCCCGAGTACCACGAAGCCAAGGGCACCCACGACTTCTTCGAGTGCTGCCGCTCGCCCGAGATCGCATCGACCCTGACCCTGCAGCCCATCGACCGGTTCGACGGCCTCCTGGACGCCGCCATCATCTTCAGCGACATCCTCGTCATCCCGCAAGCCCTCGGCATGACCGTCGAGATGGTCGACAAGAAGGGGCCCCATTTCCCCCACCCGCTCCGCGACCCGGAAGACCCGCAGTACGCCTCGGTGCTGTCGCGCGACCCGGCCGCCGCCGCCGCCGCCCTCGACTACGTCTACGCCGCCATCACCCTGACCCGCACGAAGCTCGCCGGCCGCGTCCCCCTCATCGGCTTCTGCGGCGCCCCCTGGACGCTCCTCTGCTACATGGTCGAGGGCGGCGGCAGCAAGCTCTTCGCCCAGATCAAGCGCTGGATCTACGCCCACCCGGACGAGTCGCGCCGCCTGCTGGCCCACATCGCCGACGTGTGCGTCGAGTACCTCGCCCTCCAGGTCCGCGCCGGCGCCCAGCTCGTCATGGTCTTCGACTCGTGGGCCGGCGAGCTGGGGCCCCGCGAGTTCCAGCGCTTCGCCGAGCCGAGCCTCCGTCGCATTGCCGAGGGCCTGCCCCGCCGCCTTGACGAGCTCGGCCTGCCCCGCGTGCCCATGACGGTCTTCCCCAAGGGCGCCTGGCACTCGCTGGACCGCGCCTGCGACTTGGGGTACGATGTCGTCGGGCTCGACTGGCTCCAGGACCCGGCCGAGGCGGTGCGCATTCGCGGTGATCGTAAGGTCACCTTCCAGGGGAACGCCGACCCGGGTGTGCTGTACGGTACCAAGGAAGCCATGACGGAGGCGGTGCAGACCATGGTGGACGGATTTTGGGGTGGCAAGAGGGGTTGGATTGCCAATTTGGGCCACGGTATGCTTTCCCCTTCGTTTCTCTTTTCTTTTTTTTTTCTTCTTTTTTCTTTGCCTTCTTTCCTGCCAATCTCACCTGTCCAGTCTTCTAACATGCTTGTGTCCCTTAGGTATTACGCCGGGCGTTAACCCGGAAGACTTGAGGTTCTTCCTGTCGGAGATTCACCGTCTGACAAAGAGCACGTAACGATCATCGGTATTAGAAAGGGGGAGAAAAGGATATCAAACACATGTTTTATGAAAGCAGGCCGGGCTAGCGGTATACGAGAAAACAACGCACAGAAATCTTCAGGACAAAATGTCATCGGATCATGATAGAGGAAGGGGAGTCATGGGATTAAAGAAGCAAAAGGAAACTCATCGAACGCACCGGGGAATAGGTATGGACACGCTCAATTTTGGGTATGAAATGACTTTTTATTTTCCCTCTCCACTCCCAAGACTCATATATCATGAGACAAGCTGCATCCATTCATTATTCACCTCCTCCCATTTGATCCTGAGACGCCCGATAAAGCAGCAGAACACAAACACTCCAACAGGTGGTATCTCGACTTTTTTTGGGGAAGTTTGCAATGGGTATAGACATCGGCAGTGGTAACGCCTGACACATTCCATCCCCTCAAACTCCAGTGCAATGATTGAAGTACAAGTTGGTTGAACAAAGAAAGAAGAAAGAAAGAAAGAAGAAAAAAAGAAGAGAAAAAGAAGAGAAAAAAAAAGGGACGTCATTTCCGTGGGTCATGGCTCGCTCGCTCGCTGCACCACGGATAGAAAGAAAAGTGGTGCTTCGTATGGTACGGACATGTCGAGACAAGGCGGAGGGAAGGTGCAAAGACAGAACTCTTCCGTCCCCTTACGCCTTCTTGCCCAGGCTATGGAACCAGGCCTTGCCCCGCGCAGCAATGGAGGTGGACGAGCGAGCCGAGTCCGAGTCGTCCACGACAGCGCTGCTGTCGAAGCTGGCCTTGGCGGCGGCGGCCTCGTCGGAGCCCGGGCGGAAGATGTTGGCGGCGCCGCCGCGGCCGAAGTAGGTGACGTTGGAGCTGGAGCGGCGGGGGGCGGGCTCGACGTCCTGGCGCAGGCGGGTCTGGGCGGCGTCGTCGTTCTTGAGCATGTTGCCCGAGCCGCCCCGGCCGGTGGTGACCATGGGGGAGGTGAGGACGGGGGTCTTGAGGTCGATGGGGGTGACCTTGTCGAATTTGGTGCGGGCGGCGTAGTTGCCTGCTCCGCCGCGGCCGTGGGAGACGAGCATTTTGGGTGTGGGTGTGGGTGGTTTGCTTGTTTGGCTTTGGGTGGTGATGTTTCTTTAATGTCCGTAGGCTACAGGCGGAGTGCGTGTAGCAGACGGTTTGCTGTGGTTTGAGGGGGGTGTAGCGGACTTGACGTTCGTCGTTGCGTTTTGTATAAGTGGACTAGGGGTGGTGAGTCGATGTGAGAGACTTGTGTGTAGAAGGGAGAAAGTGCTGGATTTGCTTTCGGTTTCTGCTTCACTGACTGATGATGGAGGGGGGAGAGAGAAGTAGGCAAAAGAAGACGGGACGAGGTCGAAATTAAATACTAGGAAACGATGTTGCTTGTTGTTCTCATTCATAAGGTAGTCACGAAGTACAGACTATGGAGACGGATAGATGTCCCACCAAGATGTCCCACCTAGATGTCCCGCCAAAGGTCAGCCAAAGGTCAGCCAAAGTCAGGAGACCATCACGTCGCGTGCCACTGCCACTGTGCCAGGGCATGATCAAATCAATGGTGAGCAATTACACGTACGCTCGGGCTTCAGCACTGGCTCCCGCAATGGGGAAAAGCTGCCCCTCGATCCCTCGTCACCCCGCCATTTGCCAAGGGGAAGAGCTCGATCACCGAAGAAGCTCAATGCCAGACGAGACGTGCTAGTGTACAGCCCAATTTGGGAGATCACAAGGACATCAAAAAAAAAATCTTTCCCGTTCTCTTGCGCCATCTCTTCACATTTCTTCCCCCGTTTCTTTCTCCCCGCTTCCCTTGGCGCCCGGCTTCCCAAGAGCTAAGGCTTAAAAAAGGAAAGAAGGAAAAGAAGGAGGCAGTCCCGCTGCCAGGTGCCACCGAAACCACCACTTGAAGCTCTGTCCCCCACCCACACAACTGGGTCACCAAGGCACGCTATTACCCAATAGCAACGTAATGTAAACAATGACAGCCAGCCAAAGCCACCACACGCAAAGCTCGCTTCTCACCCGCGGGTGTTGTTCCGCTCCGTTCCCCGCATCACTTGATCGGCTGTCTTACTGTACGTTGTAGCTTTCGTACTGTACCTTGGCTTATTCAGCGTCCTTGTTCCGTGACAGGACACCCAGGTAGCACTCCTGATCGATTTGAACCTGATTGATTTATGCGCCATTGGCCTCTCCGATCAACATCGTCTTCTTGGCCCCATGGTTCCGTCCCACTGCCCACGACTACGAAGTATGGAATGCGAATGTACGAATTGGTGAATGCGGACAGCTCTGCATGTCGTCAAGTGGTCACTGCCTGAAGAAGACAGACCCTCGAATCGCGTCATCTTGGCAGAGCCCCCCATGTGAACATCTTTCGGCGTGAAATTTTTCACAAACACTTGACCACCGAGCTGGGGTAGCAATTGGACCGCCGCCCTGGCGCTACCAGCACGGTAGTCGCCTTGCTCCGATGCCTTGGCACCTGGGGCGCCGTTGGGAAACGTTGTTCAATAAGCTTAACACTATTAGACGCCCATGTATGGGGTAAAAGCTTCCTCGTGACCTCTCGTGAGAAACTGCGCCCTGCGATGCCGATCTTCGTCCGTCCAGCTCTCCTTCTCTTCTTCTTCTACCCTTCTCCATTCCATGTCTTCCCTGGCTGCAGAAGAGACCTACGTCTCATGACCGCCATCTGACCGCGAACCATATTCAACCTACGAATCCTCTTCCTTGCCCGCCAACCACCTGACCCATTCGAGCGCCAAATTCTTCAACGAACTGGACACGCGAGCCTTTTGTCCGGCGTGATTGATGTTTTGATTTCTGGCCAATGTGCTTCGAGTTCATGCTGTGGGCTGAGAACCGACAATCGCAGAGAAAGCCTCCTTACAAGGGAGAGCAAGCATCGAGAAGTTGGGTATGGACGAGGTTGTCCTGACTGGCATGGCCACGGCCTTGCCGTCTTTCATTCTCGCATTGCCCTCACTGTGTCGCGGCAGCAGTTGGATACGGCGTGGAAAAAAATACCACCGCGGCGTCCTGTGCATGCCAAATCACTCCGGAGATCTCTCGCAGTTCGTCGACTCGCACGTCGTTCGAGATATCGTCGTTTGGACCCCGGCGACTTATCCTTCTCGAAAGGACACTTCTTTCTACCATCCGAGCCATTCGCTCTTGTCGAGGATGGACCTGCGCTGGACGTTTGCCCCCGCTGCTTTATGCACCTAGTCGTCCGCGAGATGCCTACATGACGTTGACAAGTGTCCCGCAGACCTATCGTTGATGCCCTCTTGTGTCGTATTTGGCGTGGTTTTTGTTTTCTTTGTTTTAACACCCTCCCCCCTCTATGGGTTCCCTCAACTGAGAGAAACTGGTCTACACCGAGATGTCAGGAATCATGTTCGCTGCCCTGGAGGCTACATGATATACAACTCCACTTGGTTCTCTCCGTCAAGAAGGAAGGGAAGCGGCGCAGATCAATTCACGATCTTGCCCGCTCGCGGTCAGACCATCCTATATCGAATCGAAGGCGGCAGAAACTCGTTGGGCCTTGTCTCTCCACCTCACTTGGCCCTGGAAGTCGCACTCGATAAGACCACTGGCGAGCCACCAAATACCTACATATGCGCATATGTCCTTGCACGACTGTTTAACGGGCAGCATTCGTTCCCAACAACAACAAACATCGAGTGGGGTATCACGTGTGCTCGGTTCCCAACCTGGAGCACACCAGACCCCCCTTCCACGTCGATCCTTTGGGAGATTGTCGTGACCCTGGAACTGTGCCGGGCCTAAACTATCCCAGCCGGAAACTACGACCAGTCTGCTGGCTCGAGTGGAGATATAAGGGTGAGGGTGTTTCTCAACGTACAGATACGTACACCCAAAAAGCCGCAAGGCCAAGTGCGTACGTTGTAAGGTACAGAATAGAGTGTTTTGTCTCTCCATGTTCGGGCCCCCTAACAGCAACGGCTGATGTTTCTCTACGTTGTATATTGGGCGCAACGCATTGGGATGTGCCTCGGTTGTATGAAATGGGGTCTGGGCCACGACGAATCAATGCATCCTTAGCACATGGGTTTCATTCGGATGCCAGTGACTCGTCAAGACGTACCCAGCAATGAAAGCATGTCTGAGACTCGGATGCGAATAAGAGAGCTTTCGGCCCATGCTTGTGTGATGGGGTGGTGACAAACATCCATGTCGTTACCTGACGATCACCCAGACAAGGGGGCGGCGCCACCTTTACTTCACACCCATATGTATGTACACGTTGACAGTGCCAACGGAGAGTCTATCGGTGGTCATGGAAGTAGCGAATGAGAGACGGGAAAGAAAGACAGTATATCGAGCGTCCGATGCTTGTAAGGGGGACCAACCCGAGGTGACACGAAACCCCTATTGGCTGCATGAGCGTGCTGGTTGCGTGGTAACGAACTCTACTTCGTACCTGGGTAGTGAGGGAGGGCACCGACACGGCGGAAAGATGCGGGAGTCCCGAAGGCTCGGGAACTCGGCCGAGAAGGCTCGAAAAGCAAAACGTCGGTTGGCTAGGAAGGAGGAGTTGGTAATTCGATATCTCTGTTCGTTCTGGATTCATGATTCATCAGGGAGTCGGATATTCTATAGGACCTCTAGAACGAACAATGGTTTATGATTGTCTCTCTGGCTGGCTGGACTACGAAGGTACCGGAAGACCCGGCGGCACTCCGTCCTATTCGAGCCCGTAATTTGGTTTCTTCTCTCGGCATGTCATGTCGGACATGTCGTCTGAAGAATGGCGGCACAGGTTTGAGGGCCAAAAGCTGGGGTTGGATAACAATGCATTACAGGTATGAAAATGCGACGCAAGGCTGAAAGCCAGACAGGGGAGAAATCGAGTGCAGACCTCGGCAATTGCCTAGATAGGCCGAGTAGGAAGAGTACACTGTCTGAATCTGGCAAGTCCAGAAGCGAGATGCGTTTGATGGTGGGATATATATAGGTATACCTGCATATATGCGCGCTTCATACCTATAATTATATGTACGTGTCAGGAGTCCTTCCGAAGTCGGCCGACCGAGTAAGTGCGGGATACGACTTTGCAATCATCCGGGCTGACAGAGTGATTTGTACGGTGATTGAATAGGAGCGTTCGAGCAAAATACGATGTAACCCGTGTTGTTGTCGTTAGAAAGGAACGGGCGAGAGATACCGAAGATGATTGCGTTGGGATGCGTAAGGTAAGGTATGAAGTTACGAGGGGGTGCAGGTTAGCTGCTGCAAGCAGCTACTCTGCGCAACTAAATTAAGGCTGGAGGCGCGCAAACCGCTATCGCACCATAAACCGGGGATTCCGGAGCTAGTTGCCGCCAAAGAAAGGGTTTATCTGGCTTAACCTAAAGGGAAAGTCGTTGGAGACGCCAGAATGGGTTGGATGGACCCCAGCGCTCTGGTACAGAGGTACCCTTAAATCGATGATACGATGCAGTCGAACGTTAAGTACCTTACCTACCTTACCTTACCTTGCCTTAATGAATATTCGTAGTACAACGTGATGTAGCCATACTCTGTACTCAACTGTTTTCCCTTCTTATATCCGAAACTAATATCCCCCCCATACACAGTCTCGACGAGTACGGAGTAGGCAAAGTGCAATGGGATGAACCAATGCGAGACACAAGTGAAGAAGGAGGGAGGGAGGGTAGACAGGACGAACAGGGGGTTGCCGGGTTTAGTGGAGATGCTACACTAATTCAGAATCTGAGTGGTCCGTGCACCGATCCACCCAAACCAGCACCGGCAGGGAGGTAACAGCACCGCCGCTACAGCTACATGTGGACCAGCCCACCACCTCAGTCACCACCACTACCACCACTACCACCACACACCACCCGCCGCCGACTCCGCTGCACCACAACGACGTACCTTACGGTTTACGGTTTACGATTTACGTACCTTTCCAGCTTCTTTCCCCCAACGTCTTCCCCTTAATCTTTCTTCCTTTGTCTCTTCAATTTTTTTCCCTTCCTTTCCTCTTCACGCGCTCCCCTACGACACTGCGCTCGTGGATCGCGTTTCCCTCCCCGTCAGAAAAAAAAAAAAGAAAAGAAAGAAAAAAGCCGCCAGTTCCTCTCTCCCGGAATAGGTACAATTCTAAAACGTCGGGAATTGAGCCGTTTTGCATCCGCAAGATCGTTGGGGGCTTTCTCTGAGGTAGCTGTTGCTTCCCGCGCGACCGTCTCGACACGGGTATTGCCTCAGCTTCCCACCTTTTGCTGCCGCCCACTGCTCCCGCAGCTTCGTGGTAGCCATCAGCTTTATGCATCGGCAATCTGTCGCCTTCTCCCGGTCCAGATCTTACTCGCATTAAAAACGACATCTGGAGCGTGCGCCTCGCTTCTGTCACCATCCCCTCCCCCCTTCCGCGAAAAAAGTCGTAAATCGAAAACTCGTCCCTGGCCTCTCGCCACCTTTGTCATCGCCAACTCGTCAACATGAGCTACGACCAGGGGCAGAACATGCATCCAGCATACCATTATCCGCCGGCTCATCTCCCCCAGCCTCCGCCGCCGCCGCAACACGCTCCCCATCACCATCCTCATGCTCCCCAGCCGCACCAGTATTCGCATCATCAGCAGCCGCAATACCCGCCGCCGCCCGCCCATCATGCTGCTCACGCCGCGCCCACCTTGCCTCCGATGCCTTCTTATCCTGCCCAGATACCTCCTCAGATGCCTCCCCAGATGGCCCCTCCCGACATGCCCAGCAACGGCGCACCACCCCAGCCGCAACTCGTTCCTGAGCCCGTCCGAAGCGTCGAGCCCATCTCGAGAAAAGATGAAGCGGGAAGAATATACAAGTGCGTTCCTAGTTCCGTTCGCCGTCCACCGTTTGTCTTGCCTCGACTAACGCGAGAAAACCCCAAAACTTGCTCTAGGCTCGACGTCGTCCAGCAACCTAAGCGCGCTCGCATGTGCGGCTTTGGCGACAAAGACCGCCGGCCCATCACACCTCCACCTTGTGTGCGACTCATTATCATTGATCCAGAGACCGGCAAGGAGGTGGACTGCAAGTATGTCACAGAGCGCCCTTGCCTTTTACCACGCTTTTCCCCTATCCGATGGGCAGCGATTGCCTTGGAAAAAAGAAAAAAAAAAAAAAAAAAACCCCCCGTCGCGCGCAGTGCTGACCCCCGTCTTCTGTTTCCAGCGAGATTGATCACTCCATGTACGTCCTCAACGTAGACCTCTGGTCCGAAGATGGCCAGCGCGAAGTCAACCTCGTCCGACACACCAATAATGCGCCAACCATCTCGTCTACCACGCCTTGCTCCTACACGAACCTTACCGAAACCGCAACCTCGTTTCAGCACATCCTGCCTTCCAACACACCGCATCGCGATCCTTCGTATCCGCCCCAGGCCGCAATGGGTTATCCGCCCACGCCAGCCTCCCAGTACACCACTCCCGGCTACGCCATGTCACCCGGCGGCTATCCAGTTCGTAAGTATATAAAATGCCCTCCCACGTCACACACGCAACCGTCTTAAGGTATACCATACTGACTAGACCCCGCCCAAGATCAATTACCTCCGACGAACGGTTACAACCCCAACCCCGGTTACGGCTTCAATGGCATGCCCGAGTACCCTCGCTCGGAGTACGGCTCTGCCCATTTTCATGCCCGGAACGCGATCGGAGGAGCAGGGGCCCCGCAGGGCATGTACACGAGGAACCTCATCGGAAGTCTGGCGGCCAGTGCTTTCCGTCTATCCGATGTTGACGAGCACATTGGCATCTGGTTCATCTTGCAGGACTTGAGCGTTCGCACTGAAGGCACTTTCCGGTATGTTTTTTTCTCCCTTTTTTTTTTTCGTTTTTTTTTGTTTTTGCTTCTTGTTTCTCTTCTTCACACCAGTGTCACCTGAACTGACCATGTCATTTACACAAATCTACAGCCTTCGCTTCTCTTTCGTCAACGTCGGGCCTCCTTCCAAGCCGGCAAACGGAAACCAAAACTCGACCACTCGGTCCGCCAAGGCGCCCATCCTGGCCTGCTGCTACAGCGAGCCGTTCACCGTCTTCTCCGCCAAGAAGTTCCCCGGCGTGTGCGAGAGCACGCCTTTGAGCAAGTGCTTCGCCGCCCAAGGCATCAAGATCCCGATACGAAAGGAGGGCCCGGACAGCAAACGAAACAAGGACGAGGATGAAGATGATTACTGATGATATGATGATGACAATGATGACCACCTTTTTTTTTCTTTTTTTTTTCTTCTTTTTTTTTCTCCTTCTATTTCCTGCCGCGCCATCAATTCAAAGGGGGGGGGGGGGAAGGGACTTGAATACAGCAACCCGGCGGCATTTTCCATCACGCATCTCTCTCATTTTCCACGGTCGATCGCCGAAAAGTCGAATGCCACTCAGGTTACGCCCGGCACCAGCCCCTCTCAAGCTTGCCTCCTTTTTTTTTCTTTTCTTCTTCTTTCTTTTTGGTGTCCCTATTTTTTCTGTACATACGCACATATTTGTTTCTATTTACTCAACCATAACTTGCAACTGCTGAGCATCCCAAGTTCGCATTGCTCCCGTTCCCTACGGGATGGTACTCGGGCCTAGAGCTGCCCAGTTCTTCGGCCGGCAACGCGCTAGCTGCATCTGCGAAAGGGGGGGGGGGGGGGTTCTTTGCATACCGTCTCCATGTTCTCGGTACATGCTCTGTAACCCCTTCTCTTCCTCTTGGTGTCGTGGACATGTACATATCTGTGTCTTCTCTTTCTGTTTTGGACTACAGAGGAAACAGAGTACATATAAGTACCTAAGCTAGACAGGCAATGGTTACCTAAGGTAGTAATAAGAGTCGATTGGTCACCTTTTCATCCGTCTTCCACCAACAACACAACACACGGCGGTTGGCGCCAGTGTGCGTAGCTGCATTCGCCCGGCCTTTCTTGTCCGGCTTAAATTCCCCAACGGCGTGAACCCACTCTTCTATCTTGTTTTCCCTTTTCTCCAGTCCTTTGTTTGGTATCGGTACAGTCCCACGGATGGCTTCAGCATTATCGTCAAGATGGTTTCGTTCCCTATCTACCCATCCATACATTTGCGTAGTCAGGAGTTGCTACATACATGACCTGTATAGTTCAGCAAGGTAGAGAAGATCGCAATGCGCTCGCTCGCTCGCTCGCTCGGTTATTCATTTGCTGCCTCACACTCACTCCCCACCTCTTTCCGGCTGTCAGCCCTAGCCACCCATCCTATCCCCAAGCCCGTTAGAAAAGCAAAAGACAAAGGCGAAGCCTGATGGGAACAAGCCACCCGCTTGGCCAAGTCAAGTTCCATGCTACAGGACAGCCAAAAAGCAAGATAGGGGGGAAAAAGGAAGAAAGTGGGGCAGAATAGTGGTAGTGGAAAAAAAGAGAAAGGGGCATTTCCTTCTTCGTTTTTACGGGATTTCTCTCTGAAATCGCCGTTGCATAATCCGTTTCTGTCCGAGGCTTCATTATACCGTCCTTCCCCTGTAGAGGCCTTATAAGAGAAATGAAGAAAAAATGAAGAAAAAATGAAGAAGAAAAAAGCGCCCCGTCCTGATAATACCTATCCGATCCGTCGCCAACAATACTCAGTTACAAGGTATTAGGAAGAGTGGTATCAAATGACCGCTGCCTGAGGGGCTTGGTCATGACTGGTAGTGATTCTGGCCTGGTATAAGGCAGAAACAAAGTCGCCCAATGACGTTTGATGCATGATCGGTTTGCTTCGTTTGGCGTTTATCCATCCACATGATTATGGGATTCACAAGTTTTTTAGCCATGGCTCTGTAGGTGAACCATGTACATCTTGCGATGTGCGCAAACCAACCTGCGCGTGCGCATAGAACCATCAGATATTATCTCAAAGGTTCAGCGGTATATGCTGAGTGCCATATATGAACTGCACATGGCATGACCCTTCCATGAAGGAAATGTTAGGAGTTTATGCATGAAACCTGGTAGAGTCTAGGAGTCGGCAAGTTTGGCAAAGTGCTTTGACCAGATCCATCCCACTTCCTCGGCAGGATCATCTTGGTTTTTGGCCAGCCAGAGCTCTCCTTTCTCAGCAACAACGTCAAAAATCTGCCAGTATTGTCAGTCAACGGGAACTACGTGGTTACTCGGCATCGGTTGGAAATACCTCGCCAGCTTGGTACGTGAGATACGGGTATCCGGCTTCATGTTTGGTCGTCTCGATATTGAATTCGAAGAGCGATGCCGCCAGCCACAACACGTTGTATCCAATCCTGGCATGGACACGTTCACGAGACGATGCCCTCGATTGTCGTTGGCTTTCTTCGGCACCATCCGTCATGGGAAGAGCTGAGTGGAAGAGTCCAGAGTATCGCCTCGATTCCGGCGGCGCTGGGTTGGGGGAATTGTATGTCGAACTCGACTCGCGCAATGCATTGGCACTCGATTCGGAGCTTTGTCGCGGCAGACCGCCCGAGTCATAACTCCATCCGGTTCCGGGCCGGGTGGACGGCGAGGGAGCGCCAGTGGGGGTACCAGAAGACGACTCGCCTCCGATGAGCGGCGATGCAGTCGCTCCAGCCTGAGGTGAAGGTCGCGAAACGTTGAGACCCGCATAATAGTCCCGGTAATAATACTGGTGGGGGCTTGGAATCGACGGCGATGGAGACAGCGAGAGCTGTCCACCCGAGTGCCTGGCAAAGTCCGGAGCCGGCAACACAGGTGCATGATCGCTGTTCACCGACCTCCCACGGATCCGCGGGCTGAGCTCGGCCGGGCGATGACGCACCCTAGACGCTCCGTCGTCCGTGCTGGCACGGGTGTTGGTAGTGGACAGAGATGCTCTGCCCTTGTAGGCCGGATTCAGGATGCCGATGCTCTGAAGCTGCTCGTGCGCAAATTTGTAGTCGGCCTGGAACGTGGAGACAATGTCTTGAATCTCCGGCACCTCGGGGGAGTCACCGAGCACCGCTTTGACTTTGTCTTTCCAAATTCCATACCAGTTTGCCTGAATGTTGACCAGGTTTCCGAGGCAAATGTTGCCAACCCTTTCTGTCAGGCCTGACAGCTTCGGCAGTTCCTTCTTCAGCGTCTCGTTGAGCGCTTCATATTGCTCCACTTGTTCTTTCAGCTTAGCATCGATAGACTTGCCGGCTTTCTTCAGCTGCTCAGCTCTCTCGTAGTCCGCCCTTCGCTTGGCCCGCTTCTTCATGGCTAGAGACGGATTGCCGTACGCTTGAATGACCAGTTCGAAAGGCTCGATGACATGTTTGCGCACTTGGGCAAGCTAACGTGGCAGATTAGGTCAGAGAGTATCACACCGAAAGGGAGAAATGGGTCGACGTCGCTTACATGTTGGTCAAGGGCCATCTTCTCAATGTCTCTCATCGACACGTTGAACTGGACCCATTTGCTCTCCAGTTCGGGGTAGCTTCCTGGCTGAAGCCTCATGACGAGTTCCATGGACGAGAGGTACTGCAGAAATTCGTGGACGTATGCGCTCACTTGCCTGGTGTAAAACTCGACGTCTCGAAGGACGACCTGCAGCCGAAGGAAGTCATCGCTGAACTTGTCCTGGAGCTTCGCGTACACGGCGTCCTCGGGAATCCTGGTGCTTGATGCTTGGAGCTTATCCACCCTCTTGCCAAATGCGCGAGCAAAGCCGGTCTTGACGTCGGACTCCTTGCGCTTCCGTCCGACAATCTGCCCGACTAGCTCAAAGTTCTTTTTCGTTTTGTTGATCTCGATAATGGCAGTTTCTAGGATCTCTTTGGCCGAAATCAAGGCCGCACGGTCAGGGTGGTCTTGAGGCGTATGCTGCAACAGCGTGACGATGAGATTAGGGTATTTCGTGATCCTCTGCATGGGTTTGATGAGAAGGGAGTCGAGGTCCCACGCCGCGGTGAGATCCTTCGCCACCTCGTTGCACTCGTTGAGCCAGACTTGCACAGTCGGATCTTGCTGAATCTGGATGAGTCTCTTTGCAGCATGGCCGCTATTCCGTAAAAAGCCTTCGTGCGCAGCCTTCATCTTTTCCATGTTTTGCTGGAAAAGAGGGCCGAAAACCACAGAACGGTCCTTGGCATCGTCCGACTCGTTGGACGTGACCGTCTCCGGTTGAACGCCTTCTTCCGTCGGCTGGGCTGAACGTCGTCCCAGCGGCGTGTAGACGGGAGCGGCGGCTTCTTTGAGCTGGGCGAGGAAAGCAGTGTGGAAGACAACAATCTCATCGACATTACGGAAAATAAGCTTGATCGTCTTCCCGTCGAGCCTTGGGCAGGCTTCGGCTGTGCCCTTGTAGATCTCCTCGACTATGTTCATGTCTCTCACGAATACCATTTCGGTATCGATTAGCTCCTTGATGACATTGCGTCGCTGTTGAAGCCTGCGCCGTTCCTTCTTTGCCGTCTCATCATCTTCCTGAATCGACCCTGCCGCCGTTGACGACCTCTGGTCCGGGTCAACAAGGGTCGGTCCACCAATAGATGGCTCTCTCACGCCGAGAGACTCGCGATCAACGGAATGCGGCGTGGAAATGGGTCGAGCATGGTCCTCACTTCCGCGCCTGGAGGAACCAACCAGCGTCTGATAGGTACTGGACGGCGGCCTGCGAAACTCGCTGATGGAACTCGATGCCGGGGTAGGTACAGGAGGTGGCTCGTAGTCTGGCAAGGGCACATGAGACAGGTTCCGGCTCATCCGGTTAGAAAGGTACGGGATGGAAAACCCTTCTCCGGTGTCAATCTCAGGAAGCTGATGGCTGCCCATAGGCAGCGGTGACTGATTGACGCCAGCATCGAGCGGCGACAGGTTTGGGCTGTAATAACTGCTGTGTCTTGCAGACGAGGCTTCGGATCCAGACCCTGCGCGGTAGCTCACGTCCGATGCGAACGGGGGCTTCGGCGGTGGTAAGGGTTCATCTTGAAGCATTGATTCCCTAGATACGCGTGACGAGGCGTCATTGCTCTCGATCGAGAAGTCGGTCCAGACAGAGTGCTGGCTTGCTCGGTTCGCAAATGACAGAAGGGCCGGCGCGGTCAGACCTTCTGATATATCGGGCGTCTGGTGAGTTGGGTGAGTTCCCCGATGCCCATCATTGATAGGCTCGGAGTCGCATGATGAGGCCCGATCTGAGGATAGGGTGTCCCGGGTTCGATCTTCCGTCTTACAATAAACGTCTAATGTCGCCGAGGCTCCGCAGGACTGAACATCCTGTTGCGACGTGGGGTGCTCGGCTTCTCGCGCCTCGCCGTGATCTAAGCTCGTGAGGCAGCTTTCACCATCGCACTCGTCCTCGTCTGCACTGAGAGGGACTGCCGTCTCCTGGGGAATACTTTGGTCGTCGGACTCGCGTCGAAGGATCTGGATGACCGTTCCGAGCGGGGGGCCGGCATAAGGAATCGGTTCGTAGTCCTCTGAGAAGGCACCGGGCACGGAGTGATCACGGTCTTCCCTAGTACCGACCGTGAGCTCCGGTTGTGACGCGACTTGGGGAGGTATGCGAGGAGAAATATGGCCGTCTAGCACCACTTTGATTGACGCAGTATCGTCTTCGGCTGGCTCGTCCTCGAACGGGTATTTGTATTCGGCTTTCTCGTGGCCTGGTGCCGAAAGATCCACAGGAACAGAGTCTACCTCCGTAATGGGTTGGGGCTGTACCTGATCAGGCTCTGTATCAGGCAAGATGAGGCCCAATCCGAATGGGGCTTGAGCATATTCTACCTCCACGGGGGGGATAGTCTGTGGCTCGGTATCGAATTCCGTGGTTTCGCTTGTGGCCGAAACGGCGGAAGGGGGTGGCTCATCCGCATTGGCCGGAGGTGTGCTGACAGGAAAGCTGCCCGGAATCCCAAGAGCAAGCAGCTCTTTCGCGGCAACCGGCGGAGTCGGCACGTCTGGGCTGGTTTCCACCGGCGTCGGTGTTGCTGTTGACGCACTTGAGGGTTGCTTTTCCGGTTGTTCGAGATGCGGTGAAGAAGTAGCCTCGTGCTCGGATTTTTTCTCGAATTGGGACTGCAACGCTAGCAAGGCGGCTTTGGCTCTCGCCGCCTCTTCGAGCTCCTTCTTACGTTTCTCTGCAGCTCGCTGTCTCGCTTCCCGAGCCTGGGTATCCCTTATTGACTTGCTGTACGCTAGCCTGATATGTTCCCTTCGCTGCTCAAAGTCAACAGGGCCGATGGATATTTTGCGCCTTGCGGCCGACTCCCCAGATTTCTGGGCCGTTTGGGACGCGTTCCGGTGAGGCGACTTGGCCCTGTCGGCTGCCTTCATGCGAGAGCTTGCTGTGGTCGCTGTGGCTACTGACTGTCGAGGGCGAGAACTTCGTAGGGGTGGTGACGGCTTCGGAGCAGGGGCGGCCACGTAGGCTGCGAGGCGCGCATTGCTGTTCGACGTGGCGACGCCTCGAGCAGGTGTCCTTCGCGTCGGCACGGTTTCTGTCGATGTCTTCGCTCGGTTGGTAGAGGAGTTAGACTGCCTCGAAGTCCTGCCGTTCGGGCTGGGAGGGACAAGGTCGGCGGCGGGGATCGTTCGTTTGAGGTAGGAGGGGCTGGCTCTCGGGCTGTCGGTGGGAGACGAGGTTCCGGACGTAGCAGCCGATGTCTGGTTTCCCAGTCTGCGGACGGAAATGGGGAGTCTGGAAGTCGGAGAAGTTGCGTGGGATCGTTGACGCGTAACTTGGGATGGGGCTGGTTTCCTTGTGGCCGGGGAGGCGGTATCGCTCTGCGTTCGGCCATGGCTTCGGGGCAACTGAGAAGCATGAACCGGTTGCGTGAACTGAGGTTCCGGTTGGGCACTACGATACCAATCGGTCGGTGATGGCGGTTCGATCATGTCTGGGTCAGACAAGGTGCGCTGGTGCACAACCTTTGCGTGAAGAAGATAGGATTCTGAGCCCCGCCGTGGTCGGACACCAAAAGCCTCGATGCCGTATCCCGCTGACTGGTTATCGTGCTGTTCCGGTAAGATCTCACCAAAGAGAAGACTTTGAGGTAGTGGTAGTATGGATGAGTCGCCTGGCGACATTATGGGTGGTTGTGAAGGTAGATTGGAAGGGGTTGTTTAGGAGGAAGATCAATCGAAGACAATGATTTGGATACTGATTTGCGATAGGAGGAAGGCAGGGAAGGTACCTTATGGAGTAGACGGTAATGCCCCAGGTGTTGGTACCTGATGAATAAAGGCAAGACAGGTTCTTGAAGGAAAGTGGCACGTTGAGTGGTACCTGCCTTAGCGACTATAGGATTAATTAGGCCAGGAAGACAAGTCAGGCAGGTACGATGCAGCTATTAAAGAAGGACATTGAAGGCAAGAACAGTTTGGTTCTGTCCTAAACCTATCAATACAAAATAAAGTGCATGCAAGGGAAGAAGGAAGGAGCCAGCGAAGAGAAGGCCAATGTGTGGGTGGGTGATATCCGTAGAGTGGTGGGCTACATTAGACAGGGACAACATGGGGAGTCCCTCCTAAAGGACCTAGTCCCTGCTTGTGTCTACCTGCAAGAGACTTTAGGGTACAGAAACAGCATTGACCTCACACGGGATTTAAGCCCTGAGACGGTATCTATCTAATTACGACTTGGTACTTATCGGTACCTGAGACTAAGCCTACCACACAGCGCCACGCCGCCAACGACTTGCCCCCCGCATTTACCGAGTACTTCTGACCGTATACTGTATTCATAAGGTACGTTTGTACCTACCTACACCCACCTAAGGTACCTAAGGTAAGGTACCTTATTAGGTAGGTACCTTAGGTAACCAAACAGCCTCACAACACGCACTTCTCTCATTACCTACCTAGGTCAAGGTATATTAAATGTCAGGATCCTTACTCCGTACGGGCAACGGAGTACACATGCTGCCTTGCCTCTTCCGCACGAGTAGCTACCTTACTCCTTGTCGTGAGCCGTGGGCATCATCCCATCCCTCATAGTGTTACAGAGTAAGTAGTGCGTCTAAACTTTTGGCTTATGACGGCACCTTCGGGACCTGTCGGCCTCTACCTTAGTTGATAGCGACAAAGGACTAGCTAGCACTAGACCCATCGCGCTTGGGTCGTGGGACAAATGCAACGAGCTTTTGCGATGCCGCACGCCACTTGTTGTGTAAGGTACCATTTAAAGTGGTAGATGCCGAGACCGAAAATTGTTTGTACCGAATCGTCTTATCTCGCACAACATACGGATACAAGCCCCACTCAACCTCAGGTACGCCAGTTCGACGACGTCTCTGGCCAAATTGTTCGACGAAGGCTCTGGTTAAACTACTTTCTAGTTCGCCAGGGTTCTGAATTGTGAGTACGTATATTTAGATGGAATAATCTAGACTTCCTGTTTTCGGATGAGCAACTAGGTAGCCTTCTCGCAGCCAGCCAGGACGGGAGATCTTCCAGCCTGCAGATCAGCAAGAAGCAACAACTCGATGCCAATTCGTATCTCAGCATGTCATCGTAGCATCGTGCGCAACAGATGAATATCAATCTTTTTCTTCTTCCTCCTTTTCCTTGTCCTTACTCTGTTGCTTATCAAAATAAGAATGGGGCAAAAGAAAAGAGAAGAATCACCACACGGGAAATTCCAGCATGTGCGGGTGGAAGTACTGGTGGGAGGTGAACAAATTGCACTTTGAAGTTGGAGTCGAGATAAATAAGAGACCAATATGACCGAACCTAGTGCTTAGTCATTTGTGTACCCGTGTGTCACCCCTAAATTGTACGTCTATACAGTATGAAGCAGCACAGTGTAAGACCGCAGCTTGAATACGCGTCACGGCTCTTGAACTCGCGTTCATCAACCCGAGCACATAGAAGGTGCCCTGCGAAGATCAAGTCGCACCCATCAATGGCTTTCAAAACAATACTATAATGGCCGCAAATTGCCGGATCAAGCGGTCAGCGAATAATCACGAGTGTCCTAACGGCCTCCCACCGGCCAAGAGAGCCCGCCATAAGAACACCGTGCCGGTCAGCCATGCCATACTGCAGCACTACTTCTCAAAGATCCAGACTCTACGCGAGTATCTCATTTCCAACCTACCCAGGTCGTCTAGGCTCAGGCGCAAGAAAATTGCCAGTTTAGGGCTGCGTTCGGGGCCGCCAGCCTCAGAGGAACGGGGCATAAATCCCACCGAAACTCTTCTCTGTAGCCTACTTGACGACACCCTCGTGGCAATCCCCCATGGTCCTCCTTCTCAGCAGCATCAACAGCAACAGCAGAATGCGGAGAAGGATGATGACCGCTGGGAGCGATGGGTTTCGTTCTCCCAGAAAGGGGACGAGTCTTACGTAACTCTTTCTGGTGACCCGGCCGACGCTCTCTACTCCCAGTCAGAGGTAAAGGGAGGACATCGCACTACACCCGGCAATCTGTACTGATTGTCCTTGTCTAGATTGTGGACTTCGTCGTATGGCTCTTGTTTTCCAGGACCCGGGCCCCCAGCTCTTGGCCAAAGCATCTTCTGTGCGATGGATATCGCAGGACCCCGTCATCTGCCGCCACGGTCTCTGGTATTCCGGGACTTTACTCCTTGTTTCCAAATCGTCACGTCGAGACCCTAAAAGAGGCCCCTTGGCCGCAACTTCTGATGCTTCTTGGACAGTCTGGCGAGAAGATGATGATCGATTTACTCATCGACTGCGCCATCTTCGTGCCGCTACAGGCTGGAGTCGGAAACTTCTATCAGCTTAGTGGCACTCCCATTTCTCAGCTGAATCCGGGTAAACGGTGTAGAGACGGCGATTCTCAATCTCCAGATGCGTCTGCTCCGGAAGTATCTCCGTCCGGAATCTCATTCGTGAGGAGCCGCATGTTGTATGCACGTCCCGCCCTCAATGGGCGAGGCCACGTCAACTTTGGCCTCCGACACATTCGTATGGAAAACCCGGTAGCGACTGGATGTGCCGTTCCGACTTTGCTAACATGGTCTACTAGATGTCCTCAACCGGTGTCCGTATGTAGAACCTTCAACAACAGAAGAAAAGGAAGCCGGCGGGCAGGTCGACTCGCAAAATCAGGAGAGGACGCAGAAAGTAATGATGTACATCTTCGCGCGGCAGTTTGGTCTACACAACGCTTTCACTTCTCCAGTCGACAGAACCAAGACGGCGCAAAAACTGCAAGATTACACCCTGCGGGAGGATGAGATCAAAGCCTATCGCCAGGGCCTAGGAGTACCCGATGGGAAACCGGCCCCTATTCGGATCCCCAAGCGACTACGCGGAGACGCGACACGGCTGACTCAACGCCTTCAAATTCTCCACGGCCGTTGCTCCTACACGGAATTGCTCCGTTACTATTGCCCGACCCCTCTAGATCTCAAATCGAGCAGGGCTTCGACGTCCAAAACAACGAACCACGGCGAGGACTCCATCCTAGGAGGTCAAAATGCGAAGCCAAGCACCGAGCGGTTGCTGGTAGCAGCTGGTCCTCGTCGGAAGTCGGCGGGCAAAGAGCGCAAAGGGCCCAGGGCGATTCCGGCTTCCCAGCCGGTCATTACATTCGACACCCTGACTGAGTTGGCGACACCACCCTCCCAGGTGTCCGCCTTCTGTCAGGCCACCTTGTCAAAAATCATACCGAACGAGTTCTGGGGCAGTGGGCCGCATCAATCCTATAACAAACGTCTCATTATGGCTAAAGTCGATCACTTCGTTAAGCTACGGAGATTTGAGTCCATGTCCCTTCGCGAGGTCGCCGACGGGCTGAAGGTACGTTTCGTCACAATAACTGCCTAGGTGCATGTAAAGAGTCTCCGACAGTTGATGTTCTAGTTTTGCAGGTCACGGGCATCGGTTGGCTCGCACCCCCTGGGCTAAGGTCTAACAAGACGAGTCGGACCGATCTGGCCAAACGACTCGAAATACTGAACGAATGGCTCTATTATGTTTTTGACTCCTTATTGATACCCCTCCTTCGCAGTAATTTTTATATTACCGAATCCAGCGTTCATCGATACAGCCTGTTTTTCTTCCGTCACGATGTCTGGCGCTTTGTAGCGGAGCCAGCCATGGCCACCCTTAAGACGAACATGTTCGAGGAGGTGAAGCTGAGTCGGGCCATGGAAATACTCGATTCCAGGAAGCTGGGTTTCGGCCAGATGAGACTCCTGCCAAAGGAGACGACAATGCGACCTATTATGAATCTCCAGAGACGAACGGCGGCCATGGGAAAGAAGGAGATACTAGGACCAAGCATCAACGCTATCCTGGGGCCCGTGTATTCTGTATTCAGGTTGGAAAAGGTATTTCTCGTTGCTTGCTTTCCTTTCTTTATTTTTCTTTGTTTTTCTTTCCGGCTTCGCGCTGACCCAGACAACAGGACCTGAACCCTTCGAAACTGGGCTCGTCTCTCTTTTCCGTTGCAGATATCCACAAACGACTGAAGGCGTTTCGCACCAAGCTTGGGTCGCCGCAGAAGACGCTCTACTTTGTCAAGGTAGACGTGCGATCTGCCTTCGACACCATTCCCCAGGAGGCTATGCTCCGCCTCCTGCAGGAAATCCCCAGCGAGGAGGTGTACAAACTGATGAAGCACGTGGAAATCAAATCCACGCACCTCGAGGACGTCGTAAAGCCAATGCGGCGGTGGCACACCGTTGCTCTGACCGAGCACGACCGGTCAACCTTCGTCCAAAGGGCTCAGAATCGGCTGGCTCATGGCAAGAAACATACAATCTTCGTGGACAGTGCGATGGCGAGGCCACAAAATGCCCGGGACCTACTGGATCTGGTGGCTTCTCACATAGGCCAGAATTTAGTAAAGATTGGGAAGAAGTTCTACCGCCAAAAGAAGGGCATTCCACAGGGGTCGGTGCTGTCGGCGATGTTGTGCAACTATTTTTATGCCGACCTTGAAAGGCAGCATCTGTCGTTCCTGACCGGCGAAGACTGTCTCTTGTCAAGGCTGATCGATGACTTTCTTCTCATCACCACCGACATCTCCAAAGCCAGCAAGTTTGTGGAGAAAATGCATCGGGGGGTCCCTGAATACGGAGTTGCGGTGAGCCCGTCGAAGACCCTGGTGAACTTTGATCTCAGCATCCAGGGCACCCCAGTGCAGAAGCTCCCCGAAGGCGGCGGGTTTCCCTTCTGTGGAACCTTGATTGACTGTCGAACACTCGGTGTTGGGAAGGATCGCCATCAACCGAAGGATTCTGGTAAGCCACTCATGTTGGGACCATGCCGTGGAGAAGACAACTTAGCCTAACCGAAAATCCTCGCAGCGACCGCGAATGCCTTGACCGTCGAGTTTGGACGCACACCAGGACAGACCTTCCTGAGGAAAGTGTTGAGTAGGTCGATGTCTTGCTCCCTTACTAGAGTCTATGTCGTCTGGGAATGTCGATGAAACTGATTTATATACCCGCAGACACTTTCAAGCTCCAATCTCACGTCATGTTCTACGACACGGGCCACAACTCGACACATACTGTCATGCATAACCTATTTGAGGCGTTTGTCGAGACGACGACCAAGATGTGGGCGTACGCACGCCGTCTCCCCACCCAACAACAACCCGGAACGAAAGTCATTATAGGTACGCTCCGCGGCTACGTCTTGTCCTCGAACCTGGTGACGTCCGGAATCATTCCTCGGATGTTTGGTGTTGCTGATTTGCTGATCTATCTACGACAACATAGAGACCATCTCCAGGCTCATTGACCTGGCGTGCATGCTACTAACGAGCAAGGCACGCAAGGAAAAGTACCCTGACTACGACTGTCGCTTGAGTAAAGTTCAAATCTCGTGGTGAGTCTCACTTGCGTTGGGGGGGGGGGGGATTGTGCATATCTGCCTCGTTCGGGTTTCATCGACCGGCTCCTAATAGACCTTTGGTCCAGGCTCGGACTATGTGCCATCCGGAAGACGTTGGTGCGGAGGCAGACTAGATACCGTGAGTTGATCGACTGGCTCAGCTGCGAGACGAGCCGGCTCGAGTCGAGGAAGGGAATCAAGGACTGGAGGATGATGCGGAGAGTTGTCAGCGGCTGGGAGAGAAGATGAATGGCGAAGAGAGACGGGTTAAGTATATCAGCTGAGAGCAGCTGGAATCAATTGGCACAATCGGCACGACACGCTGTGCGGATCTTGAGCCGGAGTGCCGGGAAAATTATCTCAGCGAAACTCACCCGCAGGTTCCGGGTCCTGTGGCGTGTGGCTTGTTTTTACACCTATTAAGTCAATTATACGCATTTCCTTGCATAGCCCATGCATCAAACAGAAAACCACAAAAAGCCGAAAAGGAGCCCGCCACCAAGATAACGGGAAATGAAAAACGTCCCGGGAAGGGCGCACGGATCATTTGACGTCACGAGGTCTCGGGACATGATTCAATGTCTCACCTCCTTTTTGTTTGTATTCGTATCACCAATCAATTATCACAGCATCATATGGAGTACTTAAGGTGGCCAATGGACTGTAGCAAAGCACGTTCGTCAAAAACCGCGGGAGAAAAAAGCATTGCGGGTTGTTCTAACTTCAGCGGTTGAGAGAGTAGACTGAATGACTTCGTCAACTTCCCGGAGCCGGAATCGACAACAAAGAATATTGTTACACGTCGCACTCTCAGATCTCATCTGGTCTCTGCATCGGTCAACAGTTTTCGAAAGTCCCACGTTGGAATTCCACTCGAGCCGGAGGTACTGGAGGCGATTTGCCACTTGATCTCTTCTACTTACGCTTGTTTGACTTCCGCGACTTCCGAGTCTTGCGCGTTCTCACCGTCGACGCCGACATGATACTACAGTCCCTCCCTATCCCGCTTGCTTCTCTTTCCTCTTTCAGCTACATCGCCCAGCGTTTCTGCCTGCCTGGTACCACAGGGACGAAGGGCTAGCTACGGCGTTCGTAAGAGGCCACGTCCGTCACACTAGAAACATCCTCCACCAAAAAAAGACGGAGCGGGAACTCGAATCTCGTGTAGCCTTCCGCAGCAAGAGAGCGAACCACTTTGCTTCTGTCACAATCTGCTGCCTGCATGCAAAAAAAAAAAAAAAAAAAAGTTAGAGAATGGCGAACGGCATGGAACCCCCAGAGCTTCTCGCAGTCGCTACTTTAACCGCTTACCGTGATGCTTTCAAAGCCGGCATCGATGCTGGCCGCGCCCACCGTTTCACTATCCCCTACCACTTCATCCCGGGATATGTCATTCCCATCCTCTACATGTCGATCCCGCATGTCCGCCGCCCTTGGTTGTACCGCTGCCGCTGGCTGGTTGTCATCCTCGTTGTCGGCTTTAACGCCAACTTGGTACGGAACACATCCAGTACCAACGTCGCCTTGGCTTATGCCGCCGGCCTTTGGGGTTACTGGAGCATCATGCACAACCTCACCATGCTCGTCTGGTCTCGTCCGCAGTCTGAGGCTGAGAGGGTCGCTAGACGGAGGAGGGAGAAGCAAGAACCCCAACCCACTGGAACCACTCATTCCGGCTCGCGCTCTCGGGATCAGGCAACTGCGCCAGGCTCAGATACCAAGCAGTTTGAGTATTACTGGCAAGCTTTTCCGGTGGATGGTACCTTTCTGGAACGTCTTGAGTGGGCTTTCGACCTATATTCCACCTTTCGAGGCGCAGGTCTGTCCAGCCCCCCCCCTGTTCTATTTCTCTGTCTAAACTACTTCGATGCTCGTCATGGTCGCACATGGTGATATGTGATTTACTGACTTTCGGTCCGTTCAACAGGGTGGAACTGGGCCGTCCCGAACATACCAAGTCCGCAACGCCCGGAAAAGCCCCTCTCAGGCGAGCTTGTCAAGATGGACACCATCCCCCTGAAAACTCGCACCGGCTACGCCACCTACCCTACCGTCAGAGACTTCGTCCGCACCAAAGTCATGGCCTGCGTTTACGCCTACGTGGTGCTCGACGTGCTCAAGGTCCTCATGATGAGGGACCCCTGGTGGATCCTCGGCCCCGGCCATCTCCTCGACCAAGTCCCGTTGCCGCCCTACCTGGACGCCATCCCCACCTGGTTCCTGGGGGTAAGCCGCAGCCTCATGATGCTCCTGGGCATGCACGCCGCCATCGTCGGCCTCTTCTCCCTCCACGACCTCCTGCAGTACTACATCACCAGCTGCGTGTACCCGCTCCGCGCCGAGCTGTGGCGCTACTCCTCCGTCTTCGGCTCCCTCGACCTCGTCCTGGACCGCGGCCTCGCCGGCTTCTGGGGCGCCTGCTGGCACCAGACCTTCCGCGCCCCCTTCGCCGGCCCGGGCACCTGGCTCTCTTCCCGCGCCGGCCACCACCTCTTCCCGCCGCGTTCGTCCGCCGCCAAGGCCGCCACCGCCTTCTTCGCCTTCTTCCAGTCCGGCATCCTCCACGGCTGCGGGAGCCGGACCTCCCTCGGCCCCGCCGACCCCCTGTATCCCATGCTCTTCTTCCTGCTCTCCGGCGCGGGCATCCTGCTCCAGCGCGCCGCCTGCGTCGCGTTCCGCGCTTGGATCGATCCCCTCCCCCGGCGGCTGCGCCGCGCCGGAAACCTGGCCTACGTCGTCCTGTGGCTGCACTTCACTTCCTGGCCGCTCGCGGCTGATCTCGCCCACGCCGGCATTTGGCTCCTTGAGCCTGTGCCGCTGTCTTTCGTCCGAGCCTTGGGGTTCGGCCAGGTCGACCACGCCCTGTGGCGGATTGACGACGATACTACCGCACACTGGAGAAAGGGGAACCATTGGTGGCAGAGCGGGCTAAGTTGACGGTGAATAGTCTGCTCCCTTGTTGTATATTTTGTTACCGTAGTTTCAGGCAAGATAGAGGAAACCTCGCTGTATCAAGAAAAATTGGCCCTGCACTTATGGGGGCGTCGTTGATACCAATCCAGGCTGTGGCCCCCACCAAGGAAGAAAGAGCAGGTGATGCCAGCTGCCATATATGAACCCACCGAGATAGACCGGTGTCTTTGCCAGAAAAACACTCAAGGCGTCGTGGCGGAGTGGTCTAACGCGAAGGACTCGAAATCCTTTCCCTTCGGGGGCATCGGTTCGAATCCGATCGGCGTCGTCCTGTTTCTTTTTGCCTATTTTGCGTAATAGGCTTGCGTTATGGCGAGAGGATGTTGTTAAACAAGGCAATCGACTTGGATTTTTCTTGTGTTAAAATAGTTCTTCTTTGTTACTCTCAACTTACTCAATTGTCTTGCGGGTTGGCGCAAAGCAGAACCCAGCTTGTAATTGAGAGACTCGATATTGAACCCCCTTGGAGAGCAATGAAACAAACCCCCCCGGCTTGGGCCCCACCCACCCGCCTCAAGTGGCGCGCCAAGAAGAACCGTTCAAAGACGCTAACAAGTAGGCCATGGTCTGTGCGCCGCATTCTTCCCATTATGTGCAGGTTCTAGCCAATCAGAAGAACTAAAAGGCAGTTAAGACTATATGATTGGCCAATGGTTCACGCAAGTGATTAAACACGTGTCGCGACGGGAACGCGATGAGGAAACGCGATCGCGTATACTTCGCGTCGTGATGAACCAACCTCCTCCTGGAGAAAGGCGACACAACGTGTTGCGCTATTTTCATTCTCCCCTTCCCATCCTTTGCCGGTCATTATTATATAGATTCTGTCTCCCGTGCTAATAGAAGTTTGCCTTGCTGTTGGTCTGTTCTTTCGGCAGTGTCTGGTGTCGGTAGCGTGTTACTTGCAGATGAAACATGAAATCGACGAGACGCATCATGTCCCCCGGGTTGAGCACGTCCCCTATCTGATCCATCTTCTCCGAGGGAAGAAAAAAAAAGTACAGGCCCAGCCCTTTGCGTCACATTAGGGATACTACGATCTACGAAGTCAGTGACCTCAGATAATCTTCCAACAAGACAATTCATTGTTGGCAGGAATGGTGCCAGAGGCTCATAATGACGACCGCCTTCCAGGACATCCCAATTAGACTTCGTAAAAACTGGCAAGGGGCACGTGGATCGGCCGATAGGTCCTCTATCAACAGACCAGATCTGCCTCTTGGCCGTCGCATCAGGCCCTCCCTCCCCGGTCCGCCGCCTCTTACCGTCATGTGAGACTAAAGTAATTAACGGAGGCCAGACACAATGGGCGCCGAAGGGTAGAGCTGGTCTAACACATCCCATAAGGTGAGGGGCGAGGGCGAGATGCCTTTACACGACATTGTGAAGTAGTACTTGACTTTAGACCAAGTGTTTAGAAGAAAACGGTGGACAGATGGATATGCTCCTCAGAGTTGATGGCCAGTGTACTTCAGAGTTGGGAAAGTCTGTGTGACACCTGTGCAGTCTACCCAAGACACTCGAAATTCGTTCCCGGTAGACATATCGGGTAGGCCAAACTGTTACATTACGTTGTGTAAACACGCATGCGGTAAATTTCTAGGATGCCGAATACTTCGGAGATGTAGCAGTTCGCTGAACAGTACACTGTATTAAAGGAAAGCTGAGTGACAACCACGGCTCTTTCCGATGGCACCTTGGGAAGACGACAGCAGCGCCATATCGAGAGAGGGGTCGAGGGGATAAGGAAGGGAGGAAGGGAGCGAGCCGTACCATGCCGCTAGTCCTCCGTAACTAATCACCTAGAAAACGATGTGAGGGATCCCTTGACTTCTCAATACACCCACTCGCTCGGAACCCTTTGTCCCTTCATGACCCAGAAGATCGAGATGGCGTTTATCGAGTGTTTGAGGGAGTTGCTCTCAAACCACCCACTACGAACCACCAGAGCGATTAGTTTCCTTCATAGTGTGAGAGTAGAAACAAATGTGCAAGACGGTTTCACAACATTGGTGCCAAGTGGGCTGGAGGGGAGATAGAAGGGGGCGATACACATGGAAGCCATTGATACCATTCAGGGTGGGCTAGCTTGCATGTCCTGCCGAATGAATGCATGTACTGTACGGAGTACCACAGATGCATGGTGTGGACGTACATGAACAGGAGGAGATAGGAAGAGGGGTAAGAGAGTACCCAGATAAAATGCCGACAGGAGAAGAAGAGCAACGGAGGGAGAAGAAGGGAGGAGTGATTGGCAAAGCGAAAGGGACGATGCCGTCTGGTTATCCTCGACTGACACTGTCTAATAGATGAAAGCAGAAAGAGAGAGGGCAGAAGATAGGGCAAACGCTCTTCTGATTCATCTGCAATCCTCATAGAGATGTCATGGCGTTGCTGCGAGGTATTTTTAAAAATAATCCGGGTCCTTTGTCTTGGTCGTTTGGTAGCTGTAGGTATAAGGGTAAGGGTAGGTCTGGCCTCCCTTTTCGTCCATCCCTCTTCTCAGGGCCCGTCTCCCCATGGCCTTTGGGCTCTTTCTTGCCCTGACTTTCGCAGGGCCAGTTCTTCCCTCTATCGATGTCCTTCCTTGTGGCTTGCCTCGTTGAGGCGATTTGGACCATCCCTGCAGTAGACATGACGGAGATGGCAGACAGAGATAGCAGAGATGGTGCGCCGGCGGACAAGGAAGTGTACATTACCCCACCTTCAGCATTCCCTTTCAAGTCATCTGTAAGGTACCTTAGGTACCTACCTATATGGGAGGGATGTACGTTGTAACGATAAATATGGAGAAAGAGTGAGAGGAAGGAAGGAGAAAGGGTTGACGAGAAGGGAGCAAGTACTAAAAAGACTGACACAGTACGAGCTACTTCTTTTCCGACGGTGACTCGCAGCTCAGGTATGTACCTAATATTAGCGTGTACTCACTAACACCCGTCATGTGGCCCACCCTTTTCTCGCCCTGGGAACACCCCCCTCGTTTTGCCCCCGTTGTGCTGGGATCGTGCTGGTCCCTTTAATAACGGGGAGCCCTACTAACCCCCCTCCCCCAGCATTCCTCCGCCTATCACCCACCAACCACCCACCTATTTGCGCCGTCTCCTCGCCAACCTTCTTTTTCCTCTTCCCACCACCGAGTTTTTGCTCTCTTCGAACCATCCTCACCAACCAACATTGTCATTTTCGCCACCCGATTACCATAGTTTCTTGTCGCAACCCCCAATACTTTGCGGATTATATTTATCGAATTTTATATCGCTATCCTCGACCCCGTCCGTCGCGCGCGCATCTCAATTTCGGCTGGCGCATCTGGGGGTCGCTGTCGCAAACCGCTTAATCGCACTCGACACTCGCCGACAAAGCTGAACCTCGCTGTCGCCCATTCACCACCACTTATCACCACCATACTACGTCTTCGGACGGAAACATAAACATCATGCTCATGCCCTCTGCGTTTGCCTGCGACCTGTCGCAGCAGCAGCAACACCACCAATCCACACCTCGCACTCGTCTTCAAGCCGCCCTCCTCGCCTCTCCTCCCGCCAGCCCTCCCTCGCTCTCGAGCCAGGGCGCGTTCGGCGACATTTTCAGCACCTGCCGCTCTCTCCAGACCCTCCTGTCGACGCCTCCCCCACAACCAGTCGATGATCCCGTTCCCGCGACACAGCTACCCACCCCACCTCTGGCGTATGCGCCGCCTCCGCTGAAGCTGCGCCTGCGCCCGCGACCGACCAAGCCAGACGGCCCAAGCGACCACCTACCGCGCAAGAAAATCATCAAGCGCGCCCCTCCGCGCGGCGCGAACAAGCGTCGCCGCGCCCTCCACGACGAGGCCGAGGACGAGGACGAGGACGAGGACGATGGCGATACCTCGCAGAGCGATCTCGAGTCCTCCCCCCTGCGTCGCCATTATCCCACAGAACCCCGCACGCCTCCCGCGCCCCGGACACCCAAGCGCGCGCGCATCGCTCCCGAGGTGGTTCCTCTCGGGCTTGAGCGGTCCGACTACCATAATCTGCGTTTGCTCGAGCTGGGCGGCGCAAGCGACTGCAACAACAGCAACAATTTCACTTTGCGGGATGCAGCGAGAGGGGCAGAGCCGCAAGGGACCAACCTCGAGGTAGAGGCCGACGGCGAGTCGTGGAGCGTTGAGGATGACAGGATCCTGGTGGAGCTGGTCCTGGAGAAGCTGAAGCTCACAAAGACCGAGTGGCAAGACTGCGCTCGCAACCTTGGGAAAGATCGCAATGCGTTGTCGCGTCGGTGGAAGAGTTTGATGTCCAAGGGAGATGTTGGGCTGAAGGGGACGCGGGCAAGCAGGAGAGTCAAAATCCATGCTACCTGGAGGTGATCATTGTCTCCTTTCCCCCACGGGGTCTGGCCCCCCATTTTTCTGCTTCTTTCTATTCTTCTTCGTTTCCCCCTTTTTTTTTCACTTCTATCACATAATGTATATCTATTTAATTTCGGCGGAGGGGTAACCCCCCGGTTTGGGCATATGGAACTGGCATCGGCTACTGGCGTTTTGGAAGAACAAGCCTGACATGGCGGCTATTCTGGTTTATCCGCATTACAGGGGGAAAGGACAGGACGGGATTTGACATCGCGCGAATCGAGCGCTTGATTTTATTGTATTTTATTTTATTTTATTATCTTCTTGGGAAAGAAAGGAGGCGGTTCAAGTATGTTGTCTATCCTGAGGTCAGATACGCCATGGCTGTTCGCAGATTGTCTTGCCCGCGATTTGGCTGAGCTGGTCGTCTAGAGCAGAATCAATTTGGAGAACCATTCTAAAAGCATACTTCTCGATATGTTGATTAAACAATGAAGAATTAGGAGATAGCCATAAGTCCCCATATTCGGCGTCGTCGAGAGTCGCGGAACGAAGCGGATAAACAGGGGTCCTTCCTATAAAGTCCCCGTCCCGTCGGCTGTGACCCCTTCAGTCCTTCATTGCGTACCGGGCTGCTGCCACATTTCCCAGCCACTCGGTTCGGGGAGAAGTTCAAAATTGGAAGGCTGAACAGTGGGGGTTTATCCAGCCATAATCTATTATTATTATTTTACGGGGTTTTTTTTTTCCTTCTTCTTTTCTTTCGTCTTGGGGTTTTCTCATTGGGGTCTCGATCCATACGCACCGGTTAAGCACCAACCTGATGGGCCGGTTGGTCCCTTTGCTGGACCCCCAGGCTATCCTGTTATCAGTTTGAACCCCAGGGGGTCTGTATGCACCTCTTCGACCGGACTAAAGACCTTCGCTCCCTAGACTAGGCCTTCAGTTTTCTCTCTTTGTCCTCTTCGCCTAACCGATCAGGAGCGAGCTGAACCCAACTCTTCGTCGCCTCCATCCTTCTTCTCATAATCACTCCCCTTCTAGACCCACAGATCTATCAGAAAATACGCGACTAGGTTCGGTGACATCCGTCTTCCAAAGAGCCAAAATGCCCGTCACGATGCGCTTCCCAACCCGCAGGCCATATGGGTGTGCGATATTATGATGGCATTTTCGTCATGGATCGAGATTTGACGATCCTAGATATGGTTTTCTCTGCGACGGTCGAGCGTCGGTCCGAGTCTGGCGTTTCCCTGGACTCTCTCCTGTCTGCAGTGAAGCCTCCAAGCCTCCTGTCTTGGTGTTCGGATCAAGTTTCTCATTGCATTCAGTAGTGATGGGAGGAGCCCTGTTAACTTGCAGGCTACAACCGGCATAACACAACGATAACCGTTCCCATAATCTCCGAAGCCACATAAGCGACAACATAGTAAAACCCTTGGACACCGCGCCTTTCCCATTCCTTATTCGCCGATTCCTCGGTTGTCAGATCATGAACTCGTGAGGGGCATACCAACCCTTCTCTTCCCCTTCTCCAGTCCTCCACTCCAGGTCGTAACCACTTGCAAGAGCCTGTCTCGATCAAAAAACGCAAATGGCCAAGAGCGAGCGCCAGAGAAGCCTTATTCGTCGTCATAATAGTCCTCGTCTTCTCCTCCGTAATCCTCTTCCTCTCCCCCATACACGTCCTGGTAGGCTTCTTCATACGCCTCGCGAGCCTCTTCGACGGCCTCATGGTCACTGCTGGCGGCATCCGAATCAGCGGCAGCAACGAGAGCCTCCTCATACTCCTCACGGGCCTCGGCGACTCGTTCCCGGTCGCCGGAGCTGATCGAATTGCCGTCTTCGTCCACCGCGCCCAAGACGGGAGGCGGGCCACTGTCAAACGCGGGGGCTTCGTCCTCGGAGGGCGGTGCGTAGTAGTTTTCTTCGGGGGGAGGGTAATACGCTGGTGGAGCCGGTGCGGGGGCCTCTTCGTCGCCGCTATTGTCCGAATCGTCTGCGGATTCACCAGTCAGCAAACTTCCAACAACTGAATTTCTTTTTGTTTCCCCCTCCTGCGATGGAATGGGAGCTAATCGGGTTGCAGAGAAAAAAGAAAAGAAAAAAGGAAGACAAAAAAACTCACTCAGGGCATTAGCCACCAGGGCACCGCCAATAGCGCCGACAGCCAGACCGCCGGCTGCGCCCATCAAAACGCCGCTACTGCCGCTCTTCGTCTTCTCCCCGGCCTGGGCGCCGTAGTGTTGCGCGGGATACCCTCCGCCATAACCGTGCCCACCGTAGGGCTGCGCCGGATACCCGCCGCCGTAACCTGGCCGGGGGTGCTCGGCGACATAGCCGTTCCCGCGATAAGGGTAAGGCGTGGTGTGGAGGGGCGCAGACATGGCAGCGTAGGGTTGGCCGCCGTACACACCGGGGTACGATCTAGTGGCAGGCGGCGGGCCAGGGGTAAAGGGAGGGGAGGGATGTTCCCATTGAGCGCGACCGCTGTCTTGACTGACGTAGAACCACCTCTGATATCGTCGTTCCCACTGGGCGACCCAGCCTAGAGGGACAGAAGGAGCAGCCATGGGAGGAGTCTCCATGATGGGAGTTTGAGGGTCGGAAGGATCCGACGGCTGATGGGGAGCGGGAAACGCAGGACAGATATTTATCAGCGCCTGAGCTGTTGCCGATTTTTGAACGTCTGAAGTCTAAACTATTGCGGCCTCGGAGGACTAGCGGGGTTGTATCTCGGAAACGTGAGTGTCTGCAGTAAGTAACTTAGTCTTGGAGACGTTAGCGAGGTTTGGGGGCAATATCTAAGCGTAGCAGAACATACTACACGGACAAAGTACGAGTTATGGCGGTCAGGTTTACGAGGTACAAACAAAACAAGTCCCCGAGCTTGTAGGTTTGGGGTAGGAAAAAGCTGACGGTAAGAGGGGGTTGAAGGAGGGGAATTATTTTTTTATCCCCCAAGGTAAGCACGATGGAAGCGGGGGAGGGGAATGGGAATGCACTCTCGGGTGGTACCTTCTTCAGCCTCAGGGTCATGAGCTGGAGGCCTGGGGGAGATAAGGCTGCGCCACAAATTTGCTTTGCCTTTTACCATCTTAGTCGACCCTTTGAGGAGATAAGTCTTCTCCTCCAGTGTATTTATTTGGCCAACTTCATTGGAGAATAATGCGTATCGTGGCTGACGGAGAATGCTTGCTCGTGTTGTTGCGGAATGGTCGCGGAAGCATCTCGGAAACGGTTCGGGCGGGTGTAAGCGACACAGGGACGGGGTCATTCGGCCATTCTCGGTGGTCTTTGGTGGAAGGTGAAGTTTCGCTGATTGGTCTGACAGCAAAACAGCAAAGACAGGTTGAGTGTGGCCTGGCTAGTTTGTTGATTATTAGGGGTCCAAAATGCGGGAGGGCCCGAAGGATGGACGGAGATGACGCGGCCGCGTAAGCTTAGAGGACAAAAAGAGCAGGGGCGGGAAGGGGTCAGCCAGAGAGACTTGAATGAAGTAGACTGAACCGCGAAGGTCTGCACAAGAATCAAAGCCACGAACTTGCTAAAAGAAGTTGATAACGTACATAGAATGATACGAAGAGACAGTACCCCGTCGTCGCAGCGACATAAGAACGAAATACAGACTAAGGTAATAACGAGTTGCACGTTTCCACGAGACCAAGGTTTCTAGCGGAGGTACCTAAGTACGGTAGTGGGAACCAAATGAGCAGTTATGTAAACAAAGGGTTGTCCATCTGTCCTGAAGTACTTGAACTTGTTAACGGAATGAGACCGGGCAAGAAGGACGAATGATTCGAGAGTTGCACCTTTGACGTTTAGACGCAAAACGTGTCGAGATACTTTGTATGTCAATAAAGTAATCTTTCGGGGCTGCTTCAAGTACTTCCTTCGCACACGGGGAGCAGTTAATACAGGAGTGTTAAGATTAGACAATCTCTAAAGGGTACAACGTGCATGCAGTTTGACGGGGTTCGTTTGATCAGCAAGTCACCCAAGAAGCTGGGCATCGTCTTAGGTGCCACTAACTTCGTCTCGGCCCGGGTGCCTATTCGCCGGAGTACCCATGTCTTTAGACCAGCTGCGGTCAGGCTAACGGTTTTAGGAAGTGTACACGTACGCCGCCAAGCACCCATGGCAGCACTTCCTGTCCATATGTGAACCCTTGATAGGTGCACTCTGCTGCAACGTTGGTCATCCGGTCCGTCCTCACCCGAAACTTTCGGTCAAAAAACTCGGGGTCTCAAGTCGGGAATCTAACGCCTGCCTCGCGAGAACACAATGATCGCCTGTCAACGCCAGCGCATCCTTCCCCCCCAAAAAAAGCATGTGTACAAAACGGCAATACCAGGCAGGTACCTTACGGACGGATACGGTTATTTTTAATCTTACTTATCTGCAGTCTGTAGGTATACGGTAGGTGGATAAGGTAGGTAGGTAGTGGACAGTGGACAGACCGCAAACGCGGGCATAGTGGACCTTTGTGAACCCAAACACCCTTCCTTCCTTCTGCCAATTTTCTGGGCTTTCAGTCTAGTCCGGGCATGCGCCGACGTGGTAGCCCGTGCTCTAATAAACCAGTATCCGTAATTATGTTGACCGACTAATCTTCTTTTCCTCGTCTCTCTTCTCTATTATATTTTCCAACCACACACCACACCTTGTCCGCACTCTTCCTTTCAAAAATCCAAAGAAGAAAGAGGCTTAGCTTAGCTCGTCTCCTCGTCTCTGAATTCCGCTTCAGTCACAATGTCCTATCCCCAGCAGTAAGTCGCGTTGCGTCCTACTCGATTTCTTTTGTTTTGTTTGGACATCTTTGCGACGCCCAGCCCAACCGAATCGAACCTGTCGCCCCAAATCTCTTCGTCTCTGTTTGGGTTCAGCTTCTGACCGTCACCACCTTAGGCAATACTACGGCTCCCCGCCGCCCCCTGAGGGTTACCCTCCTCCCCAGGGCTACCCTCAGGGCTATCCTCCCCCCGAGGGCTATCCCCCCCCAGGCCAACAACCGGTACGTCTCGTCGCAGCGACGCCACAATAAGCTTCCCGCCGTTTATTCTTCCAATCAGTTGGAGCTTTGTACAACATAGTGGTCTGAACTTGCCAAACTAACTCTGCGTTCCAGATGTACTACCCGCCTCAGCCTCAGCCACAGGCCCCGCCTCCCCAGGAAGAGAAGAGCCACGGATGTCTCTACACCTGGTGAGCTCGCCCTCACCCCCAATACCACGAGAAGAACAAGTTACAGCTGTTGTTAACACGATATCTCCCCACAGTATCGCGACGCTTTGTTGTTGTTGGCTCTGCGGTGAAGCCTGCTCGTGCTGTCTCGACTGCCTAACCTGCTGCGACTGCGACTGCTGCTAAACTAGCTAGCTCGTGACGAGGCGAGACCTGTGTGATAGGAAGAGACGGAGCGAAAGGCGTGCTGGACTTGCTCATCGCACACTGGATGCGTTACGGGCCGGTGTCGATCACGCGGGGAAGAAAGGGGAAGATTGCAGGACCCAGTCTGGGCATGGTCTGGTCGAGACCTTCGACGTCACATTTTTCATCTTTGATCTCCGTCATCGGACATCACAACTACCCACTCGACGATTCGCTCTCGACGCATTTTCCTTACAGTACCTTATTCTTTCCATACTCTCACGGTTAGGGAATAAAAGACGAACACGATTACCCCGGCGATGTTCTTCTCGGTGTGCCCGAAAGATGGACGAAAGAAGAGTTCAACATTGCATATTGCATGACCGTTTCGCTATATCCTTGTTGTGTCTAGTATATATTCAAGCTCAACCTCATTTCTTGGGATCCATAAGTTGGACAAATTCGTGATCTGCATCGAGGTTAGACGGTGTCGAAGGTCATCGTTCCTTTTTTTTTTTTTTTTTGTTGAGTTGGCCGCGTGAAGAAACGGCTCTCAACAAAGGACCAGGGAAACCACTCACAATCGATGGAGCCGTTTCTGTCCAGATCGGCCTGCCGGACCATCTCGTCGATCTCCTCATCTGAATGCCTCTGACCCAGTGAGATGAGGACGGAGCGTAGCTCACTTGGCGAGACGGAGCCGCTGCCGTCCTTGTCGAAGACCTCGAAAGCGGCGACTAGCTCGTTTTTGCTCTCGCCGACGGGCCTGGCCGGCTCAGCCATGATCTCGAGGAATTCTTTCGTGTTGGCAGTTAGCAGACCATCGTTTGACGAATAGTAAGACGTCGGGGGTTCTTTTCTTTCTTTTTCTTAACAAGTCCGCGGCCCAGGGAGTTGAAGGAAAGACAAGGGGGACCTAGCCATACCCTCAAAGTTGATGCGGCCGTCGCCATCGACGTCAATCTCCAGAATCATCTGTTTGACTTCGTCAAGAGTCGGCTTCAGACCGAGGGAATTCATGGCGACCTGGAGCTCGGTAGGGCAGATATCGCCTAGGGACGGTGTCACGTCAGTCAGGTTGGTCTAGAGGTGAAGAAAAACTACCCGCAAGGCTGAAGATCATTTAAGAGAACCCCGGAACATACCGGTTCCATCTCGGTCCTAAGAAAGCGGCGCCATGTCAGTCCTGGCTTGTCATTCCTTGGCGGCTCGTCCATGAAGACGGTCACGAAAAGGAGAGAGGGCAGGGGCTACATACGAAGACCTTAAAGACGTCCACTAGATCATTGTATTGCTCCTGTGTGAGATTGGCGACAGCTGTTGAAGGCTACGTGGTGGTAATGGTGAACGCGGTCATCAGTCAGCGAAAGCACGAGGTTGCCATGTTTGATATGAGGACGAATCAGCATAGGGGTAGGGAGGCGGGGTAGGATCAGAGGCTGGTTCACCACGACGCACCATATTTTCTCGCGCGGGAGGGAAGAACGTGGCTGGTATTCTGGATGGTAGACGAGTGTCTATAAAGTGGCTTGGGTCCGATAGATGTGTTGCAGGACAGAGTCCGATAATGCTCGAGTAAATTAGGTATGGGATGTTGGGTGAGGTTGCGCAAGGTGAGCTTTAGGTTCCCTGGTCGCATAAGCGCCTCGTCCCCCCTTTTACAAAACGCCCCAGCCTCAGCCACACCACGTTGTTTGGCGCCACAAGTCCCACAACCCCCTCCTTCCGTTTTCCGTTGTGCGGGGCCGGGCTGGGTATTTGCACGCGATTCACGTGTTTTCCCCTACACTTAGACACGTGAGATAACATCACATAGGTACCTTAGGATATAGGTATGCAACGTAAGGGCTAATTATAACTACGGTACCTTAACATGAACGGGGCAGTTATATTCTCTGACTAGATGTGAGGCGGAGTGATCCCTACTTTTGAGGACGTTCCTGGTTTTGCGCCGTGTGTTTCGCAAAAAGTTGTGTGTATTGATTGTATGGTGGGGGGGAAGGATGAGCTGGCACGGCGCTTGATGCAAGCCTAAGCAATACAGGGAGGTATTACGCGGCCTCGGTTTTGCTTGGCATATGGACTGATTTCGAGATAGGTATGTCTCCCCCATTTGGTCTTTTACAGCATGAACCTGTTACTCCTACGGTATGCCTTGTGCCGAACGCCTTCCGAAGAGTATTAAGGTAAGGACCGTATTTCGTCGAAGTATGTCTGAGCAAAAAGCCCCTATAGAGATGTGCTTCACGGAAGAAATACCTAAGTACACCATACTCCAGATGACTCGAGGGACTTCTACTCTGGTTGTTTCAGGGGATGGGTGACACACTCATGCGCACCGCATTGTCAGACCCCAGATACAAATCTGCAATGAGGTCCCGTGCTGCTTGGCAACCGTCAGACTGTACTTCGTATGGTCACTCCAGTCACTCCAGGTGCCTTCTGCCTCTGCAGCGTACAGAAAGATTTGTGATTTGCACCTGCTACCGCATGCCGCAGGGGACACTGTAACAACTCGAAAAAGTCCCCATAAAATTAGTAGGTACACACCAGGGG